GAAGCAGGAGGGGCAAAAGAAAGCACAACACAAAGTCTGTTCTTCGACAACAGCTACAAAGTATTTTGTTAGGTGCGTGGGTGAATTACTACTGGGTCAATGTGGCAGTAAGACCAGGAAGCGAGCGCTGATGTAGATCTCCTCGCACATACAGCACAAGACACGATGGACTGTGTCCTGTGTCCTGTGTAAGTCCATGTCCACGGCATTGCGATCACGACGAACAGCGGCAGACATTACATAGATAGATCCACTGACATTGAATTTTAACCTCTACGAGGCTGCAGGTTGCACCCCACAAGCAAGCACGGAGGATGATAATTTCGTAATGCCGTAGGAGGATGGAACCATTCATGATTGCCAGCCGTTTTTGCACCCCCGGGCGCCATAAAATTTGCTCTGGCCCGCCCAATGCTAGACAAATCAGAGTGCGGCCCGGCGGGTAAAGGAAAGCATAAGTAGGCATCCGCATTTGGCCAGACCCAACCCCCTGAGGGACGCGCGTGCACCCACTGGAGTCCGACTGAAGGTGAGCCTTGGGACTTGGGGCAAGAAAAAAAGGCAAATAATATGACTTCAACTTGGTACCGACAGACTGGCAGCAAAGCAGTCAGTTAGTTTAGTTCGTAATCAGGTAGACATTGGCTCCGATCATTCCTGGTGTGGCAGCTGCACAGCGGGACAGAGCCCTAATAGTATATGAGGTCGGCAGCTGAGCAGGATGAGTGACCTGCTCTCTTTTATGCTTTCTAACCTCCTATGAACCGTGTGATCATTCAGTGAGAAGAATTCAAGGAGAGTCTGATTCATGCGTGTAAGTGATTGGTCCAAACTGAGATCAATTCACTGGTCATTATCATCTGTCAACCATTCTTATTGTCTTGGCTATTGTTCATGATTACTAGTATTATTGTTCCTGCGTGCTTGAAGTACCACCATTACTACTACTAGTACTTCATCTCCATCCATCCCCATCCATCAAATACCGACCTGATACCGTATTGTACATACTCCGCCCGGTGGTGGTTCGACTCCACTTTCCCGTGACAGAGTGCCATTGAGACTTGTGATTGGTGAGATAGAGGGCGGCCCCCGAGCTGAGTCAGCGCAGAGGAGGGTCCCGGGCGGTTTCAAACCATTTCAAACCAATTCAAACGACAGCATTCCATTCCCGGCCGTCTCTCCTGCGACCCCGAAGAGCTGAAATCCCCTGAAGAAAATAATACACACACGTCCAACTCGCTGTGACTGTGTTGTGTCTGGTGTTTCTCGAAGGGAGGACGTCGCTTTCTCTTCTTTCTTCTCTCTCTTCCCTCTTGTCTGGATCTTCTTGTTACTTCTTCCTCCTCTTCTTCTTCTTTTCTTTCTCTCGTTGCATCCCTCTCTTTCCGCCAATTCGACCTTGCGCACCCCCCGTCTCCCCAGAGGGTGCGAAACACCTCTCCCCTCTTTTCCCTCCCCTTCCCGCTTTTTTTTAGGGAGACTCAGGCAACCATCTTATCCCATCTTCCAGTCCCCTTCCCCGTGTGTCGTCGTTCTTCCAACTCAACAACCACCAACCCCCCGGCCATACTGTGTGTCGCCATCCCACGCTCGCTTTTCTTGTTATTTCGACTTCCAACTACCACACTCTCTTGAAAGTCTTTATACTACTACTACAGTCGACACTCATTTTATATATCGCATCCTTTTTTTACAATCGTTCTTTCAAACCCGACGTAACCCCGTTTCATCCGCTCCTTTTGTTCCAGTATCCCGGAAAGCAAGCGCCCTGGGCTACCAATGACGTGGTGAACCGTAACCGCAACAGGATCCCACCCCCCATCGAGCGATAATCCTTACATACTACCCTATCCGACTCTTCCTTCTACGATCCTACCCTCCGCGATTTCCACTGCGGTACCACTTCCTCCCCTACAGCTTCCGCCGACTTCCTACACGACCGCATCCGGCCGCGCCAAGCTGGTGCTCTGGAGTACCACCTTATTGTTCGATCGACTTGATTTTTTATCCCCGCGTCTCCCGCACTGGTCGACGGGCGCCCTCGTTATTTCCTACGAATCGACAAGTTGTCGGCCACATAGCTTGCCAAAATGCGATTAATATCCATGTTCATCGGCCTTCTGGTCGTCCTGCTCAACTCCCCGCAGGCCGCCGCCACCAAGCTCATCGAATCCAATGCCCTGAGTATCTGCCAGGACAGCTCGAATTTCACGGCCACTTACTTCAGTGTTACTTTTACCCCCGGCAACCGCTCGCTCACCTTCAGCTTCGATGGAGTGTCTGCAATCTCTGGAAAGGTCACTGCAGAGCTCGTGCTCGAGGCCTACGGTATCCAGGTGTTGACCAAGACTCTCGACCCTTGTGAGATGGATCTTACTGGACTCTGTCCCATGAATGCAGGCACGATCGATGTTCCGAAAGCCGTCATTACCGTGCCTGAGTCGGTGGTCAAGTCCATTCCGAGTAAGTGATCTCCGTCATCGGCGGCCCCTTTGAGTGAGCCCTAGTTCACTAACAACCTGCGCTTAGACATTGCATACACCGTCCCGGATCTTGATGCCAACGTGCGGATCTATATCAACTCCACCACGACCGGTGAAGCCATTACCTGTGTGGAAGCATCCCTCTCCAACGGCAAGACAGTTTATCAGAAGGGCGTTGGCTGGACTACAGCCATTATTTCCGGTCTCGGTCTGGCTGCCTCTGCTATCACCTCTGGATTGGGACACTCGAACACGGCTGCTCACGTCGCAGCTAATGCGCTCTCTCTCTTTGGTTTCATGCAGTCTCAAGCAATGATTGGTATGACGTCCGTTGCAATGCCTCCGATCGTGGAGTCTTGGACCCAAAATTTCCAGTGGAGTATGGGTATCATCCATGTGGGCTTCCTGGAAACCATTTGTACATGGTACCAGCGCTCGACTGGAGGAACGGCTTCAACCCTTCTTTCGGACTTGTCCACTACGTCCGTTCAACTGTACAGACGCAAGCGCTCTCTCGATGACGAGCCCATTATCAGGAAGGCCACTGGGTATTTCAAGCATTGGCAGAAACGTTCGGATGCCAGTACCCAAACTGCCACGGATTCTAGCGTCATTGTTCGTGGTATTGAGCGTGTTGGCTTCAAGGCTGGAATTGAAACCACGAATATCTTCCTGACGGGTCTTATATTCTTCGTTGTATTCGTTGCGCTGGTGATGGCCCTTGTTGCTATTTTCAAACTTGGCTGTGAGGTCCTTGCTAAGAACGGCAAGATGAAGGGAGACAAATTCCAGGAGTTCCGTAACGGATGGAAGGTTGTCGCACGTGGAATCCTGTTCCGACTCACGCTGATCGGCTTCCCCCAAATGTGTGTACTCTGCCTGTGGGAATTCACCCGGGTCGACTCAGCTGCGGAGGTGGTTCTTGCTGTGATCATGTTCCTTTCGGTGGTTGCAGCGCTGGGTTGGGCAGCACTGAAGGTGTTGCGTCTGGCCAAGCGATCTGTCATCATGCACAAGAACCCGGCTTATATCCTCTACTCTGACCCTACCTGCTTGAATAAGTGGGGATTCTTGTATGTCCAGTACCGCGCAACTGCGTACTACTTCATCGTCCCGTTCCTGGGCTATATTTTGATCAAGGGCCTGTTCATTGGATTGAGCCAGCCCGCTCCGGTCGTGCAAACCATCGCTCTTGTCATCATTGAGGCTGGTATGCTCATTGCTGTCAGCGTTCTCCGGCCCTGGATGGACAAGAAGACCAATATCTACAACATTTCGATTGCCGCCATTAACTTCCTCAACACGATTTTCCTGCTATTCTTTTCGGATGTGTTCAACCAACCTGGAATTGTCACTGGTGTTATGGGTGTTGTTTTCTTCGTATACAACGCTGTGTTTGCTCTGGTTTTGTTGATCCTGGTCTTGATTGCATCTGTTTACGCCATCGTTTCCAAGAACCCCGACACACGGTACCAGCCCATGAGAGATGACCGGGGTTCGTTCATTAAGAACGGGGGTCAGTTGACCACCGAACTGGATGCTCTGGGTGCTACCGCCCGTGGGGACATGAAGGGGTCACCATACCAATCCAGTCCGTTCGAGGATGACAATACGTCCTTCTCGAGTGGAAACGGTGCCAGTGTTAGCCGTCAGAATCTCGAAGCCCCTGATGCCACGACACACCAGACCGCTCGTCATTCCCCGGTCTCGCCTGTCGACCCGTCTTTGCCGCTATTCCCTAGCGACAACTCGGCCCGCAATGGCCCTCCTGCCTACGATGCTAATTTCGGGCGTTCGCCGTCTCCTGTACCACGGAACTACAATAGCTCCCCCTTCCAAAACCCACATGCATACCGGCAACAAAACAACCCGAGCCCATGGCAACGGGGAGCAGGTTACGACCACTGAAAGACTTAATATGATTGCTTTCTAGCCTTGCTTGAGATGAAGTTATGGCTTAGTGCGGGCATGGGTTGATTCTTCGGGCCCTATTCTAGCTTTCCACTGACTGCATCCTCCCTCCCCCGCGCTATGTGCGTTTGTTTTTGCTTTTTTATATTGCGATTCCTCCCATTTGCTTGCCTATATGCTCTTGGCTACCATTCCTTGTCGTATACTATGATATACAGGAAAACTTCTTGTTTCCTTCTTTTCTTTCTCCCAATTCCTCTGGCTCTCACATCCGAATCCTTACCAAAGGCAATCTACCTTTCATTTCCTTCCTCCCCTTTTTTCTCTCTCGACTTATTTTCACCGCTGGCGTTCTGAAATACTGGATCTGGAGATCGGTACTTGGGTTTTGTGTGGACTACGTGAAGTGTTCCTTTTATTTTATTAGCTGGCAGGGGGTTTGTCTACTTGTCTGATCCGATATCCCTGTATTATTCTTGTGATTTCATCGTGTATGGAAAGAAATCATAATGCTATGCCTGAGTTGCATTGACATGTCATCCTAGAAATATAGAGTAGTCCATTGTAACGTGTTTATAACATTCTATGAAGATTATCGTAGCACTACTTTAAGATGTCTCATGGGTAGTTATTAGTACCACGCAACTCACATACGCATTATGACAAAGTACATAGAGAAATCCATCCATCCAATAAATCCTTTTATTCAAATTCTGTTTGATTTACCAACTTTTTCTTTCCTTTCAATCAAACAAAAGAAAAAGAAATATTGCATAACCGAATCCCCATAGATAGAACGCTGGTATGGAATCACTTGAATCTAGACAAACAAATAAGGCGAAAATAAGAAAGTAAGAACCCCCGTAGTAAACAAATCAAGCAACACATGATACAGATACAACATCAGATAAGATACTACTACCCACCATCACCGCTTATCACCCAATCCCGGAGGCGGACCAGGCAAACCGGCGCCCATACCGGGCGGTGGTGCATAACCGCCATCCTGTCCCGGCGGTCCAGCTATACCGGGAGTGGGACTGGGGCTGTATCCTGCTGGAGCTTGACCTGGGGGAGGAATCGGGGGAAACCCGGCAGCAGCAGCACCAGGGGGAGGGGTCGGGAAGTTGGGAGGGAATCCGCCAGGCGGAGGAGGGAAGCCCTGGGCGCCAGGGGGCATGTTGGGGAGAGGAGGGAGACCGGCAGGAGGGGCGGCGCCTGCTGGACCGGGGAAGGGAGGGGGGAAGGGGAGACCTCTTGCTCCGGGGGCTGTTTTCATTAAAGGTTAGAGAAATACTTCGGGTGTTGTTTTGGTTTGTGGGGGGTAGGTTGCAACGTACGAGGAGGCATGCCCGGCGCGCCGGGTGCGCCCAGAGGAGGCATTCCAAACGGAGGGGGAGGGAGTTGACCTGGTCGACCTGAGGAGAGGTTGTTAGCTTGTTGGTCGATGCAGTAGTGTGCATGTAGGTAGTAAGTGGCGATGCGTGACATACCAGGGAAGCCAAATGGAGGAGGGTAAGCACCCGGAGGAGCCATCGCGGGGTTCGGGACAGCCTGGCCTTCAGCGGCGTAGGACGACGTGATGGAGTCGATGACCGATTGGGCCTTTTCTTGTCCGATTTCTGGTGTCGCGTTAGCAGCACGCATTGGGGTGGTCTGAGGAGAATGGGGCCGCCGTACGTTGGTAGTATTCCAGAACGTTTCTGAGGTGGTTACGTCCGGCGTTGTGCGCCTTGCGCACGCTCATCGAGTCGTGCGTCAGGTAGACATCGCAGTAGTCGCCTATATTCAATTGGAGACATTGGTCAGTGGGGATGTGACTCCGGTAATGATGGCTGGATAGGAGGATGGAAGGAATTGCATGCGCGATGGACAAGTCCGCGGGTTGATGTGAAGGGGGTTGGGGGCGTCCTACAGAAGAGTGATCTCTTTGTCAGTATCAAGGGTCCATCAAAAGGTGAGTGGGAGACTTATATTTGGGCATTTTGGTGTTCAGAGAGCAACTGCTCTTTGCAAGCGAATTAAGCTCGAGTTGAATGCGCGCAGGTGGCGCGGTGCGCGTGAGAGATGGCTCGGTTGGAAGTGTATGGCGGTGTATTGGCTGAACTTGTAGCGGCGTATAAAAAGAGAAAGAAGCTGGAAAATGAATGGGCACAAATACCGTCGATGCTAGCTAGAGAGAAATCAATGGCGACGCACTGCTTGAGGCGGAGATCGCTGCGATATCAGGGCGGTCAGGTACGGCAATATACTGGGGAAGTGATGTTGTGGCCTCAGGCAGAGATGCATTTCTAACTATATCACCATGTTCACGTGTGCAGCGAAGGTCGTTGCAAAATAATCTGATAAGCTACTTGTCAGTCAATTGGTGTATGAATAGGATAAGCTGCGTAGGGATGGCCTTGTTATTATTAATCTTAAATCAGGTGCTATCTATTAAACAGATATAGAAGGTGAATGATTTACGTTCCCGTACTAGTAAGAACATGAAACCGTCTAATTTTATTTATTTATCTGACTAAATGCTCGTCTTTTTCATGTCTCCCAGCCCTGATCCTATGACTAACGAACATTAGAAATATGGGCGCCTCCACTATCCAGATGAGAGGTTAACATATGGGGAGCTCTGTACCGTGCCAGTCTGAGCGGGGGAAAGCTGTCATACTCAAAGATGTCTTCAGCAATTTCCAAGAGCAGCTCTGGCCACAAGGTGACATCTTTCTCAGACAACACCGGTTTTCTACCCACTAAGCGCTGGAACTCCAGCGTGACTGAAGGGCCTCGGACAGTTGGAGGGTCATCTCCATAGCACACTTCAGTAGTTGAAATCAAGTCTGGAATATAAGCTGTCCCAAATGGCGCTCCGCTGTTGGAAGAAACATTGGGCTTTGGGAAATACTTTTCGAATACTATACGCTTACTGTACTTGTGCACACTGATCAAGATCACGATCTGCACTTGCCCGTTAGAGTTATTTATCCACCAAGAGGCACCTTGACGGAGTCTGGGCATTGATTCTGCTACCGCACTCTCAATGACGATCCTTGGCCAATCCTTATTCCTAGGCTCTACTAAGGGATGGGACCAACTATCGTCAGCTTCTTTCACAGAACCAGTAGGGCCAACGTGCATGGACGGCCATAGGCCAGGGCGCTCCTTGACATTGAGACTCATGATCCTTAAGTGGGAGGTGATCTCTCGTCTAAATGCCATGCGAGCCACGTTCTGCCTTTGTATGGCGAGCTTGACAATAAGAGTTTCAATGTCTGGGAAGTATGTAAACCTGACTGGATAACAGAGCTGCTGGCGATTCTCAACCAACTGTTGGAAGTCTTGTTCAGATACAGAGCCTAGAGACAGGTATTGATCAATATCGTGCTCTTCGAGTGTATCAATGGCGGCTTTGATTGTCTCCTTGAGCTTTTCAATGCCTCTGAATGCCTCTGGGTGATATCTCCGGACCAAGGCGAGGTCGGCCGAGGGTAGAATAGTATACAAAGGTCCTGTTGATGGTGGGCATTCATTACGGCCCGAATCCGAGGGTTTCTCCATCTCAGATGAGGTCAGACTTCTATAGGATAGAGTAAAAGAGGAAAAAAGGGCCGAGGAAGTCATCTTCAGTATTTAGATGATCTAGAAGTGGCTATATTCGACGGAGTTAGCCGCAAGACACAGGCAATTCAATACTCAACTTAGGCAAAAGCTGATGTTTTATGGTTGTAGTCCGGACTGCTACTCCGCATATTCCTTTGGCCCCCAGCCCAAAACATGCCCTTACCGCTATACAGACCGCTCAGCACGGCAGAAACTAGTGAACCTCGTCGCAAAAATCTCGGATTTAGCGGATTTTGGAAACATACAGTCCCAGAACTTTGACCTGAGATTCTGTTTAAAAAGCATTGGGCGGTGGGAGGTGGCAGAATCATTTGAACTGTATACTTGTTGGATTATTATACTTCTATAGTTGCTTTCTACCCATGATACTCTTCGTCCGAGATGTATATCTCGGCTGTCGTATGGATTATTGCTATTACTAGCTGACATTTGCGTTTTGGATAGCTGAACTGTAGTTGAAGTTGAGCGATGCGCCGTAGACTAGGCTTCACCAAATGGCTACGGAAGCTGCTTGGTCGTCTATAGTTTACATAACAAAGCGCTCAATGTGCGATATGGTAAGAAGGCGACTCCTTGCTTTTATTCTCCGTTATATGATCCTGTTTTCCCCCCCCTGGAAGCAATGCGAGGAGGTGATTAAGAAACAGGCAGTAGGATAATCGGTAATATGAAATATATGGAGCAATTAGTGGAGTTAAAAGCATTACTACTTTTGGACCAGGTTCACTGCTGCGGTCAGTCATTGTGATATTCATGGTGTCTGCATGTTCAGAAGAATTGCATATCTTAGAAACCAGATTATTTTGACATGACAGACAAATACTACTAAGACTGGTATGCATTGCTGCACTGCCCAATGAGCCGCCCAACGGCCGATAAACGCAAGGGGAACTGTGTCAGAACTATGGGGTAGGACATAAGAAGATGCAGTTAATTTGTTGCCGTCACTACTGTATCCCCAGATCTTGTTGTAGTAATGGACTAGCAAGGGATTCGCAATGTCGTGACCGACGACTGCCTGAGCGACTCGCAAGGGACCAAGGGGCCAATGCGTAATGCCAGTTGCAAACCCTCGAAATGACTACAATGAATGATCTGGTGTATCATTATGTGTGCTGTGACTCGATCATAGAGAAGTGGCAAGATAGGAATGTTGGGAAATACGAGGGAGGGGTCACGACACCGGACATGGTTGGGAAAGAAGCACACGAGCGACCTAGTCAGGCGGTGGCCGTGTCCAGAAGCATGGAAACTTCGACGACCTCCTGGCCACGTCTCCGGCAAGAAGGAAGCTGAAAGAAGGGGTGCATCCTGCACGGAAAAATTACTCGTACGTCATGTCGCCGGTGGTGGCAGTCAGCCGGGAGTGATGAGTGATGAGACCTGCATGGCTAGGATGCTCCGGGGTCGAAAATCCGGGGAAGCAACGACGTGTCCTCCAAAAAGTTCTTTGCCGTTTTCCTTTTTGCCTCGGGAACCAGAAGCGGGTTTGCAGGAACGACGGGAATGGCGGCCATTTGCCGGTCCAACCGGCTCGGTTGATGTGGCCATTCAGGGGCTGAGATGATGAGTTGCTTTGTTAAGATGACTGTACCCCTGACCCCCTAAGAAAGGAGATGCAGTCCGTGAGCGCTTCACTAGTGGAAGTCGTTGGTCCTTAGCATACATTTCATTTGACTAATGGTAATAGTCCTGACAGGTGGGGGATGATGAGCAGTGTAGAAGAAATCACGATGGTCGGACTGTCGGAGTGTGATTCGTGTCATTGAGGCATTTCTGGTCGACTTCCCCTCTCGATCGTTCCAGATTTATGGAGTCATTTTTCTCTTTTTGGAGTGGCGCCCCCCTCGGCAGTCTGTCTGGGGAAGCTGTCCTGCTTGGGTTTAGCGCGGTGGATGGGCAGTGGGGTTCCTGAGGCATTCTTCAATTTTCCGTTTGTGCCGTTCAGATCTCATGACAGCCAGGGGAGATCCCTCAAAATCCAGTCCCCCCCAAATTCCTGCCATTGCCCCATGGCCAACGCACACCGGCCAACATCATACGAGTAGTAAACGAATTTCAACCAGCCAACACAGAAAGAAACTGGGGCGCAATGAGGGACAGTCAGATGGGGACCCGGATGATGCGGTGAGGGGCTGTTGTTTGATGATCTCCGCTAACCGTCTCCATACTGAAAGAGATTTCTGCACTAAAAATGGTCTCGACCGGTAGTCCCGGCAAAGTCTTAGTCACTCCCAGAAGGAAATCCCACGCTGCGCACCGGTCTTGACTTTAGATGTGACTTTCATGTAGAATGCCATCATCATCGTGCATACGGAGTTGGTTGGCCTGCCCCTTTGAGCCTTTAGCATTGGGCTTCTTCCCCGGTACCTGCCTTTCCAGTAGACGCCGTTCAATATGTAGGAGTAAGTCTGGTTAGCTGAGATTTGTGAACCGGGACTTGACTGGACGATGCCCTTTCGCCATGGTTGTAAAGAACAACACCCCCTCGGTACTCTCGGGGATCAGAGTTTAGCCATTAAACTTGACGCTTCCAATTTCAGATGCAGCACGAATAATGATGCAACTGTGCTGCTGCCGGTTTCAGGTAGCACCGGGCCTAATAGTTGCGGGGAATAATAGTCATGGACTGGTAGAATATTCTTACCGGTTGACCGGCTGACGGTGAAGCCACGAGGGCTTGCCTTGAATATTGGGCATTACGGGATAGCTGAAGGGATAGTGCAAGTGGACAACGAACTCTTTGTAGCGCAAGAGTTCGTCAGTTACTCAGTTTAGTTTCTCTTGCTGGTACCGAAAAGAGTAAGTCCATAGGCAGTCCTGCCAAGCTAATAATAACAAGTCATTTTCTATCTACGTACGTGTTAGTAGTGTACCAAGTAGAAACTATAAACAGTAATAGAAGACTATAGACGGGCTGTGTATTACTTTGTACATACATCCAAGACCAAGGAAGCAGCATCAACTCAGCCCCGGGCCCAAGCATACCATAGCCCCTTGGATACACCGAATTATTGCTATTATTGATGGCGAAATTGCGAGAGTCTTCCCCCTCATTCAACAGGATCGACCCAAATAGAATCAGAACAGGCCGCACGCAATGTGTTGGCCGATGACGCGTGACCGACTCAGCAATTTCCATTACCCCCAGGAAACCACCAGAGCCAGCCCTCGGGCACTCCCATGGCTTGTGATTGGCTGTAGCGCCAATTTCTGTTACGTTTCGCCACGCCTTGGATTGGCGCCGTGCATGTCAGATGATCGCACAGAAATTCTTTAAAGCAGCCAGGATAGGCAGGGGCGGTGGGTCGATTTTGACCAATGATACTGTTGAAAGAGGGGACGGGCGGACAATGATTGGCCGTAAATGTTGCACGTTTTGGGTGCCGCCCTAACGGGGTGAAAATTTGCAGGGCTGAAAGCAGCGGTGATGATGGAGTAGCGCGCGCATAACCGCAGAATGCAGAAAGAGGGAAGGTTCAACCCAGTCACTACTAGTAACGAGTTATTGGGGATGAAATTTTCTGGGCAGCTCCACCCCAGCCAAGCGTGACCCTGGCGCGGTGCCTGGAAATGGAAACCACGCAGTGGCCATGGTGCAATCATGAGTCTGCCTGCCGTCACGAAGGGGGGCCGTCCTGACTCTTCCCCCGGTAACTCGCTGGGCCCGCCTCGTCTGCGTCCAACTATATAACTCCTTCCCCGCTGCGAGGTCTGGTTCCAGGCTATAGAAGTGGATGCTCATCAGCTCCAGTTTGAAGAGTCATTCATACCACTAAAAAAGAAACACACGAGGGAAATTTTTTAGTTTCTCCTCTCCTTTTTTAATAGTCTCGCTCCCAGACTGCTTCTGCTTTATTCCTCTCTGTCTGACTGTCTGCCTACTACACCTTCACCAAACAAACAAGATTCTACCACTTTTCGCGAATCACTCGACCATAGGTCCCCATTGCCTATCACCTCGTCTCCAATTGACTCATACTGCGTCTACATGTTTATTACGCCATTATCGCAAATCGGATTGAATTTCCGCGTTTCGAATAATTCGAGTAATTCGATATAGACCGCGAGTTTATACTTCCCGCATCGCAAGCGCTTTTGCACGCATCCTCAATAACATCAACAAACACCACTCTACTACCTACCACTACCTATCACAACTCAATCACCATGCCTGCATCAGTGAATTACCGTGTCGTTGAACCGCATCCGTCGGTCCCTCATACCAGCCGCCCTGCTCTGCACACGGCTCGCGGAGGCGCTGGCAATGTCATCAACCTGAAGGGCACCAAGACCACCGACTCTCGCTCGGCTACTGGTCCTGCCTCTTTGACCCGCTTGGACTCGAATGTCCCCAGCACCTTCAAGTCCGGTCGTGGCGGTGCCGGCAACGTCCACAGCAGCAGCGAACGCGCCATCTTCAGCTTCGACGAGGAGCTTGAGCGTGATCTCCGCCGTGCCGCTCCCGTCTACCACGTCGGCCGTGGTGGAGCCGGCAACATGGTCTTCAGCGACGACTCCTCCAGCACCCTCAGCCGCAAGTTCTCCGGCAGCAGCTCGAGCAGCTCCGGTTCTGCTCGTGAACGGGCTCTCCGCGGTCTTGAGAAGGGCTGGGGCAAGCTCAGGGGCATGGCATAGGTATGAAGAGTTAGGGGGGAGTGAAACTGGGTTTCTTTCCGACCATCTTCAGCGCCATTTCTATTGTGCCTATTGCCGCCTACCAGCGTTGCATCACCAGATCATGACTCACGACTTACGACCACCAAAAAAGTTTTTGTTTTCACTGTTCGATTCGACCTTCGAAGATTGCTACCTGCACCCCAATCATCTCACTCAACTACGCCTTTAATCCTACTTTCTCTTTTCAACACTCGATTGAATCAAGGGGTCTATTGTTACCCCTCCAACTTCAGCTCTCTTCTCATCTTTTCTTTTTTTTCTATTTTCAACCTCCACATCAACACTTTTCAACATGATACCCCTTTAGCCATGGTCTCGTCTATATGCGCGGACATCAGCATGGCGTTGACATTGCCCTGTTCACTTGTTCCTTTGTGATTTGTTAGGACAATGACTGGATTTTGTCTTGTTTACAGCATAGGATCGATCACTGCATCTCCGTGCTTCACTACCACAGCATAATGTGTCACTGGCCAATAGAGCCAAGATTTCCCATGTACCCTACTAGTTAAATGTGAAATCAAACCAAACCAAAACAACCCCAACAAAACCAGATTCTGTCCGATTGCGTACAAAGTAGTAGTAATAGGTTGTGACCCAAGTAATGTTGGTCACAAATTGTGCAATCTCACGTAATGATGCCGAAACCGTCCGTTACACAAAGGTAACCACAATTACCTCACCAAAACCCTTGGAGCCGTGGAGCGCATCGTCAACGACTGTACCCGAACCATTTCGATGCACCATCCCTTCAGCAAATGACGGGATCTCCGGTTTTTGATGTCGTGACTTGACATCATCAAACAATTCAATGACACGACTTGCCTTTTTCGACAACAAACATAAAATGTCTTGACAATATCATTCTATGCCAGGGTTACAATGACGCCGGCCACCTACATTACTATACTCTTTGGAACAGTGGAGTTGGGTTGGGTTACCTTAGGTTAGAACTATATGAAAGTGTTCTAGACTTTCTTCTTACACTAACTAGTTGCATTGGAGGAGGAAGAGGTAAATAAACGCGCGTGAATGTTTGGTTCGAGACTACTTATGCATGTGGCTGGCTAGTTGACTAGCTAACTGTTTGTTGTACACTTGCTCGATCACTAGTAGATATTTGGCACTGCGTGAATATTCCTGGTAAATAACCGGATTTTCGGCTCTGCTGCCTTATAAATTTACTATGGCTGAAACTCCCCTGGAGGTACACTATGTTGTCTTCAACAGTGCATAGGACAACAGGGCAGCAAAAGGCAATAGATTGTATTCGGGAGTAGTTATAGAAATATTAATGCAGTGACTAATCTATCTAAGCTTAGCGTGTCACATGAAGATGGGCTTGACTTGAGGTTGAGGTGGTGGTTGTGGTTTCTTAACTTAGATGTCGGCGTGGAGCTAAACGCTCCTTCCCCAACTAGTAACTGCCTTATCCTATTACCATCCATCTCCCTGCTCATGCTTATCACTAGCATTACAGCTTCGCTTTCACTGAAACGCATATATTGATCATCCACCAAGGGCCTAACTCTCTCAGTTGGATAATGATCAAGCCTACTTGTAGAGCAGAAATACGCTAACGGATAATTCATCCGCGTACCTCAGCATGCATACTTGGACGTGCCGATTGCCGCATTCCAACACCGTTGAATGATGACCATTACTCTGTCGATATGTGCTTCCCCGCAGAAGCAAGTTACTTGAGGAGTTTATGCCGAAGATTATGTTTCTCTTAGAAGCCTAGACGACGTCAAATGAGCGAACTGCATGCTCCAGGAAAGGTGGATAGTTGTACCACTTCCACATAACAGCATGTACGAGATTGATTCAGGAACATGCATCTGGGTAGGATCCGCACCATTCTGCCCCCAGGACATGGCAGACTATTGCGATACGATGGAGACCCCCACAGGGGCAGTGAATACTACCCGAGACCATGATATAAAGGATCTTCTTGATCTGGGATATATCACACAAGACTGTTACGATGACTATGGGGGTGGCTGTTGGGATGACGGATGGAAGACTCTCTGGTGCGAGGGGGCGTGGCCTCAGTGTAGTGGATAAAGACAGGCCCCTAAAGCTTTGGTTGATGGTAGGTCAATTGAGAATTAGTTTTTATTTTCCACTGTTCTCTTTAATTTTTACCTATTTTAAATTTATTTCTTTTACTGGTGGTAACGATCAGATAGGGCTATGTGGAGGGGGTTTTTTTTTGAGCATCTTGTGTCAATTGCGGAGCTTCCAGGCTCCAGGTTACTTTGTCAACGGAGATGGTTTGTTGGGACTCGTATATTTTCATCTATCCATCCAATATGTACACAAAACTTCAGAATGTGGCACGCAATTTCAGCGAGAAATGAGGAGATATGAGATAAGACAGGATAAAGGTGGAAGAAGTAAAAGCAAGATAGCATCTAGATTCATGTCTTTCCTCGTAATCCGGGTACATGTCGCTAGGTATGTATGGTTAGAGGCTAAGGGAAGCAGCATAAGATAAGGGTAGATGTGCTAGTGAGCTCATCCGATGTGGAATAGACACAAAACACCGCTCATGGAAGATGTATCTCGCATCAAGATAGTTAAATAGTGGAAGGGTGAAAGCGTAGTATGAGTGGCAGATGGGTATGGCAGCTTGAATAATCGAGGCGAACAGAAAAGAGGGGTATCTATTAAAAGCTGCTGCTGACCATTGTGAGCATCACCATTGATGTCTTTTCTAGCTAGTAGCTTGCATGTTCAGTCTTTGCAGTGAACGTATCCTGTCGCGGAGTGTGCGAGCTGCAGGCGCGGAAGTGGATACGTCGATCGTGCAGGTTCCTGATATTGGTTTCATTCGAGAACGCAAGCACCTCTAAGCGAACTTCCGGTGGATGATCTCGGGGTCTTCGTGCCATTCGTCTGCGCTCACCCACATCTGTTGAAGGAGTTAGATTAATGGTCCATGATTTTAGGGTGATGAGGTGGAAACCTACCTTCCGGAAGGTGCTCAAACCAGCAAGAATACCACCTCCGATCCATGTCGTGTACTTCCGTTCCGCGGGGGCAGAGATTCGGATCTTCATATCCTCCACGGCCAGACGCTTAATCTCGCGCATCAACCGGTCCGGGAAATTCTTGCACAGCGTTGATCCACCAGACAGGACGATGTTGAGGTAGAGCGACTTCCGCAAATCGAGGTCCGTCCGGGTAATGGCGTCCTGCACGATTTGATGTACACCAGGGTATTCCAAGCCAATAAGTTCCGGATCGAAGAGAATCTCGGGGGCGCGGTAGCGTTCTTGTCCGATCTGCCATAGTTCGACATTAGCAAGCCCCTCCAACCCGATCACCATAACGTAAGGGGAAAGTACCTTGATCTTATGTCCATCCGGCAGCGCATAGTCGACGGACTTCGTCTCCGACTTGTGATAGCTATTCATCCAGTCCTTCTCCTCCCGCTTCGGATCCAGCGAAACGTAGCACACCTTCTCCTTGATCATGCGGACGACCTCCTTCTCCGCACTGGTATGCAGCACATGTCCATTCTTTCGTAACAGTAGTTGCAGCTGCTCCGTCACATCCCGACCCGCGACATCAATCCGTCGTATACTGTTCGGGATCGCGAAACCTTCAAACACCGGTACCGCATGGGACACACCATCCCCTGAATCGAGAACCACACCTGTTGTCCGACCAGACGCGTACAATGACAGCACAGCTTGAATCGAGGTGTACAGCGCCGGAACGTTAAAGGTCTCGAACATGATCTGGGCGGCAGCGTCGCGGTTCTTGCGTGGGTTGAGCGGTGGCTCCGTCAGGAGCACCGGGTGTTCCTCCGGCAGCGTTTTCAGCTCGTTCTCGTACACATAGTGCCAGATTTTCTCCATATCATCCCAGTCTGTTACGATTCCATGTTCCAAAGGGTAGCGAATCTTAAGCAAGCCGCGCAATTCTTGAGCTCGTTGTCCGATAAAGACGTCGCCTTCGAGACCGCCGGCCATCACCCGCGGATGTTTGGGCCGGCCCACGAACGAGGGGAAGTAGCAGGAGGGGATCTCCTCACCAGCAAAGCCGGCGCGGATGGTCCCGCTGCCATTGTCGATGACGATCGGAGCGTTGTGGAGGGTGGCCTCTGCCATTGCGTGGAGAGAACGTTGGGGATTGGGGATCGGGGAAGAGAGAGGAGAGATCGAAGGGCGCGGGTGTTTTGTTGTCGTCAAAAGGCACGGAGAGGCCCCGCGGCCTGGTCGGTTGCTGGGCGAGGACGCGGAACTCGAACGATGTCGCAGAACTTCTCTCGGTAGAGTGCTTGAGCTCGATTGCTCTTCTGCGAGGTCAAGAAGTAGAGCAAACCAGGCCGGAGGGAAGGATAGCTGCGGGTTGTTCTGCGCGTATGTTTTTGGGGTCGAGGAATGGGAAGCACAGACCAGCACCGCTCCAAACTCTCGGAAATCCCAACTATAACTCTATCTACTATCTACAACCCATCACAGTAGGGTAGAAGGCATTACAATCATCATGCTTTGCTCGCCATATGGTCAACTAATAGAATCATAAATATGTCTGATTTCTTCAATCGTCCCAACCGGATTGGCTACTCCTACAGATACATTCCCAATAACCTATATCTAAGCGTTGTTAAGCCACCATTGAGCGGATTGTCCAAGACACTGATGAATCCAGTCGTAAGTAGAACCGTCCGTTCTACCTTCCATGGCTGTTTGGTCTCAAAGCTCCTCATTGCTCAAGGCTCACGGCCAGCTACCCGATGACTTCCATAGTCATGATAATTATAATCGTACCACATAGTGGCGGCGTCATCCCAAACAACTTACAGATGTATCGCTTTCAATGCGCCCGGGAGAGTGGATTCGACCGGTGCTAGTGATAAAGACCCAAAAGCGGCTTCAATCTAGGAAGCCCAGTTCGTCAGACATCACGCTCTCCAGCGTTGGCTGGCGCCGCTGGCTTACTCCACACACAGGCGGCCAAGCCAGCATCTGAGCTCGCAGCTTTTCTGCACGAGCGAGTGCGCTCGAAATTTCCCTGAAAGAGAGTGAGCTTGTCTATGTCACCCGAGCCTAAAGACCGAAAGAGTAGCGTACCAGTAGTTGCTGGCGACAACATATCCCTGCTTCTGCAGTTCCTGTGCCAGTTCTTCCTGGTGATTATCCTTCAGGGTTGGGTTCGGTACAACAACAAGCGGCACACCAAGCCGTAATGCTCCAAGAATACTTCCCGATCCTGGACCCAAACCATGTCAGCCACCTCAATTAAGCATTGGAGATACTGTAGACATGGGCATTACCAGCGTGGCTGATGATTAATCCCCCGACTCGATCCTCAGACGGATCAGCTCGAGCCAAGCCCATCTCCTCGTCTAATCCAGCCTGGTTGAAGTCGAATCCAGCGATTTCAAGTCCATGGCGGCTTTCACTATCAGGAGGGCATCTGTTCTGGAACTCATCCCAAAGAGCCTGGCCGTCCTTGCCATATTGCATAAGTAGGTGGGTAAACCCTAGTTTCTGTAATGCCAGCAGACACTGGTCTGCCAGGATTGACTGTAGAAGAAGATGAAAAGAAGCTGTAGCACCCACAGTCACGAAGCAGACCTTTGTAGTGGCATTTGGTTGAAGAGGAGACGGCATGATGGTTAGTTAGTAGGCGGGTGATATCCCGCACGGAACAAGACTCAAACGTGGCCAATCTTGCCAACCATCTCAGTCTCTAGGGAATATAGTCAGTGTCGTAACATCCAAAGACTGGCACCGAACATGCCAGACTCTAGATGGAGTTGGCACGGAAAGATGCAAAGGCAAGTACGAAGTTGCAGTTGAGGTAAGTAGTTCCAGCCAATTGTTCGGCGGTGAAAGTCACTGCCTTCCCGAAACGGTTTAGTGGCACGCGGCGATGGAAGGAAATGAAAAACATCCGCCGAACTTCCTCCACTGCGCCTCTCATTCCCAATATCCCCAGACTTTCCCCTCCCCCAATGGCCTCAGTAGCTCGGTCGCTGGGCCGCTCGGCCTTCTTCCTGGCCCGGAGAGGGCCTATCTTCACCCCCGTCCGCCAATTCTCCGCGACGCCCATCTCCCTCGTCTCAGAAGATCCGCCCGTCCCTGAGGAGCCCAAGCGCCCTCGTCCGCAGGACCTGCCCCCGGCACCCGAATACTCGCCTGATTTCCTCTCGAAAGAGGAGCGGGAGCAATATGACTTGATGTCTCCGGAAGAGCGAAAGGCGTTCGACGAAGCGAACCGTGCTCTTGTCTCCGAATACAACGACCCCCAGGCCCGTGCCGCCATGTTCGCCGAGCTCGACAAGGAAGTCTTCCAGATCGAAAGAGAAACACATATGCGTTTCGAGGCCCCGAAAGTCAGATCGAACGGCTTCTGGGCGGAAGACGAACCAGATGATCTGGCTCTCGTTGAGGACGGCGATGAGGATTTCAACGATGACGAAATGACGAGCATGGCCTACGCACAACTCGAACAGCATCGTGAAATCAGAGAATACGCTCGAATCGCCGCTTGGGATATGCCATTGCTGAGCAGTATGCAGCCACACCTACACCCAGACTCCACATAATTTTCCCCTCATGCCAGACACAATTCCTTTGCTGATAATTCGCAATAGAGCTCGCCAAACCCTTCACTCTCCCTCCCGAATCTCACATCCTCCGCTTCCGCTACACAACATACATGGGCGAGCAGCACCCCGCCGAACCCAAGGTCGTTGTGGAGCTGTCCTCCAAAGATCTGACCCCCAAATACCTTACTGAAGCGCAACGCCAGACCTTCCTCAAACTCGTCGGTGTCCGCTACAACCCCCAAACCGATATTGTGCGCATGTCTTGCGAGAAATTCCCGCTCCGCGCCCAAAACAAGCGCTACCTTGGTGACACCATCAAGTCGTTGATCAAGGAAGCGAAGGAAGGTGACTCGTTCGCCGACGTCCCTCTCGATCTGCGTCACCACAAGCCCAAGGTTACGCACCGCTTCCCCGAGTCTTGGGTTATGACACCCGAGCGCAAGAAGCAGCTGGAGGCCACTCGTGCTGAGAGACAGCGTCAGGAGCAGGAGCGGGTGGACGGCAACAAGGTCGTTCTGCAGGCGGCGCGGACCCTGCCGGCTCTGAACCCTGCGTTGAACGCAAAGGCCACGGAAGAGCGGGAGAAGGTTGCGGTGAAGGTCAATGCAAAGGCTCAGAGGAAGAGGGTTCGGTGAGCCGAGCATTGAGCTGTGATGAGTTCTGGAGGGAATTCAAGGGAAACAAACACCACGCCTCACTTCCACCGTGATCGTTATTATTTACGAGAAACGGAGGGAGTATGTCCATATGGTAACCTGATGTGTCTGTTTTCGAGGGTATACTGTAGTATTTTCTTTGACCTGTGTAAGCTCAAACAAAACAGGGCGGCGCATATTTCGCAAGGTTGTATTAGACACTATTATCTTATGTCAATGTATTATATCTCATTCACCGTTAACTAGCACTTTCCTCTACTGATTTCAACTGCATAAATCCTGATACTGTCTGATTGGACCTATTAGCATCGGGGGATGATACACTACGCCGCAAAGGCTCTGTTGATTTTACATTCCATATATTATGAGGTTCTGATATGTACCTGGTACTATAGACATGGCACATGCCATAAGATCCAGCATACCAAACCGTTTCAACAAAGGAAGAGAAAACTAGAGGAACAGAGCAAGCAAAGGTAGTAAAAACACACGGAAAAGAAGAGAAGACAACGGGAATCGAAACTCATAATTAGCACATGTAAAAGAATCAAAGGACAGAAGACAAAACAAACCACCGAGAACCTTCAGCACAGGACGTCGATTATGAAATTTTGACAATCCGCCGCGCCTTGCGCCGGTGGTATGTATCCTGACGACCACTTTTTCCCTTTCCAACCTAATCGTAAACGAAAGGAGAGACATCTGGTCTAGGGCACAGATGAGGACCAGAGAGAACTAAATGCCGATGGCAATAATATAATGACCTGGCATCCTTGAGCCATTCACACCTGCCGGACTCATCAACCTTGTAAGTATATTTAGTTCGACTAGTACTCGCCGTGTCGTGTATCATATCATAAAGGATTGAGACCCTGTATAGTTACGTCTCATATTTAATTGAGAATGGCTTGAGCAGTGCAGGACTACTCAAGCAGCGGGATTCGTTGGACGGCCGGGCTTTAATCATCGTCCTTGGTGCCCAGGCCTAACAGATCAACTTCGAAGGACCCGTCACACGATTTACCATACCCTCTCTTGGTACCGATAGCGCCGAAGGTCGCTTTGTGTTCTTTCTTATCTTTGTGTCGGTCGCGGACAATATCGGGACTCGAGTCCGAAGATGCAGTGCCGGACTGTGTTAAAGGGGAGGCATGGCGAGTAGCCGGCTCGGACGCGCTATCTAGGGCAGACCGGATGTTCGGGCTTGGGTGGTCAACCTTGGAAATGGGAGATGCAACGCTCGGCGGAGCAGTGCCATAGCCTCTACAACCCCCACTGAATGCATCTACTTCGCTTGCTTCAGGTTCGGACTCCTGCTTCAGGACAGCAGGCCGAGGCTGATACAACCGGCGGGATCTTTGTGCCTTCTTGGAACGAGGCTTATAGGTAGAACCACCGGCCAGCAGGTACTCCGAGCTCCCGGACATTGGAGTCGGCATTAGAGATTGTATACTGCGGACGAAGTCCTCACGCTCGCTGTTGACACTCGCAAAGGCGGCGGTGCCATTTGCGTTGGCCAGCCCGCGCATCTTCCCGGGCGCAGATTCCACGGATGTGTAGCTGGGGTACTCTAGAAGAGGGTCAAAGGATAAAAGATCCATTTTCGAAGAATTCTTTGCTCCGTGTCTCTGGGGTATTTGAGCCCTGGACGGTCCTGCGGCGGCATAGACAGGCCGTGACGCTCCAGGAAGTGCCGCTGGCGAGTGCTGAATAGCATAATGAGACTTCTGCTGAGAGTCCCTTTCAAAATCAGAAATGTCCGAGATTACGTTTGTCCCGAGGCGAGATGGGTTGTGGACCGCTCCGAAACCCCCATTGTCAGTCAGTGGCAGAGCATGACCGATTTGATGACGAGGATGAACATGTCCATTCGGTAGTAGACTGGGAATGCCATACTTCTCACGATACCAGCGGGGAATGTCACGGAGGCCAAGCTTCTCGAGCATCGCCGGGTCGCCAGGCATCTCATGTTTGTAAAGGCAGCCTATGGTCATATTAGTGGTCATACTACACAACCAGACGACTGAATTACTAGCCTTGTTGTAGATAGTCACACTCGCCATGGCGAATCCAGTACGAACAGTATTCTTTCTTGGTATTGTAGTGAGGTCCCTGATCGAGGGTTAGTCACACGCGTTTCTCTTATTTAAAACCTTTGTAATGCTACACATTAGGACTTACTTGTCTAGAACCCACATTGCCAGCAATACTACCACCACTATTAGGCACCAACCAACCGTTACTGGACGAACTGGGCGTAAACATGCCGCGAGAAAGACCATGCTGTATCAGCGTTGTAATAGCCAGACGCTCGTTTGTCGGAAGAGATTCATCGGAAAGAAGTCTCATCAACGCGGCCTGTAAATCGGAGTCACGGGTGCGGTGTCCGGTCGAACTCGTGGACGTCCCTCGAGTGGAAGCGGGGCCAACTCCTTCGACAACATAAGACTGGGGTCTCATCTGTACAATCCCAAGGCTCGTCATTCCTTGGGTTTCACTGGCTGCTAGCACACGGGGAGCTCCACGAATCGAGATATGCGAGGGGAGCTCATCCACGGCGATAAGGGGAGTGAAGGTGCCATTAGGACGAGTACAGAAGTACTGGGGATGAATCGTGGAGGACATTATGACTTGGCAGCATAAAACTGCAACCAGATATTTGGATGATGTCTCGTAAAGAGATGAAGAGTCGGGAATTATAGATCCTAGATTAAAGTGTAGTGGTAAGTGGCTTGCGGGAGGAAAGAGATGAGAAGGGAGATGGAAGTGTTCAAGAAGAAGCCAAGGGAACCAAGAGGTAGGAGGAGAAAAAAGAATGACGGTAGGCGAGTGCGCGTTTCAGAGCGCGTGGTGAATGGCTTGGGTGTATGAGCGAGAGAAATGTCACTACCATTCACTGAAGCCGGCAGTGGGGACTGGATAACAGTACTGACACGGAAAATTTGGAATCATTAAAACTAATTCAAGCAGAGGAACTTAAATATAGATGAATGCATAATATATAAGATAAGAAAGCTTATACGGACAATGCCATTAAAGGTAAGATAGAAGGGATGGCAACAGGTGCAGGATACAAGGGATTATTCGGGAGTCACCGTAAACATCCACAGTTAGGGAAAGGAAGGTTCCGCTAAATTGCGGAGCAGACATCCAAGAGGGTGGAAAAGCAGCAGGAGAGTAACGTGAAAGAGCCCCCAAAGCGCTTTAACAGCAGGCTCCGACTTGGGTCCAGTTGTGGCTCAATTCCGCCAGTGTTTGTCCGATGATGTTGGTCAGTACAACATCCGGCTCGGATGGCTGCAGCCCTCCCACCCTGGCACACACGCTGTTCTGGCCTGTCTTGTCGGTTTCGTTGGGGACACAATGCCCCATCCTTGAAAATGGAGCCCTTTGACAGTCATCTATTTTTTACCTTTTCTGCCATGATCTCCCTGTATCCCGTGGACTCCCTTGTTCCCCTATGATGGTTGTCAAAGGCGGGAAGCTACCAACACCCATATTGGTAGTGTATATGGTTTGGCCACTTCGTATGGTGTTTCCGAGAGCCGCCATACTTTGGGAAGCTCCCATACTCTGTATAAATCATGCTGGTGGCATATTCCCATTCTTTGAGACATTGAGTGCCGATAAAACGTGGCGATACAAACGGCTATATCAGCCATTGGTGTTGGTGACATAGCGACACCAACTGCCCAGTAGATCAGCAGTAAACGGCTTCCTGTGATTAGTCAAATAGGGATAGCGTTTGAGACACAATGCGGACATTTTCTACACTTACAGCCCTATCAGCGATGGTGCGGCCTTTTTCACCAAGGCCATTGTGCGACTCGAGAAATGTTGACATCTTCTGGAAGAAATTAAGCTATCCCACAAGCTTTGAACGGGGGCCCCGGATATAACCATTCGTCAGGTGAGACAGGGGAACTGGTCTGCTTTAAGTGTAAGTATATCGGCCAGGGGTCCAGTGAGGAATGCGATGACAGCTGCAAGGAGGGAAAATGACGGCGGCAGAAACCGAAAGGCCACAAAAACATGTGACCATTTCGGTTTACAGCCTCAAAGGGAAAGTGCCTCAGGTTCATTTCGGAAATCTCCAGTCATGCCAATGATATGATTGGGTATGATGTCTATGTACTATGTATGTACATGCATCCATAGCGATGCAAGATTGCAGCCCGTACGCCCAATAACCCCGAAGAATCCCCGTATATGCTTTTGATCCATGCACCATCAACTCCTCGCTGTCTTAATACTAACTATGGTTCATGTCCCGAATATCTATAAGGATTGCGAAATGGCTGAAGGGGGGGCCCATGCTGGTTGCTGGTATGTCGACTGCCGTGTGCCATCGTTTGAGGTGAGATCGATGATGGAGGTGGTGGTCGCGCCAACGGCACTAGGTGCCTCATGTGTGGCCTGTGTGGTATGTTGTGCGGTAAGATCGATCATCGGAGAGTTCGTCGTCACAGCAGCACTGGCATTCGAATCGGTGGTGGGTATGCCAGGATTTGTGAGACTCGATGCAGCCTTACTGGCTTGCTTCCTCTTACGCTGTGCAAGGTCCCCACGGACCCCATTCAAGTACTTTTTAGCTAGCTGGACAAGTTCACGGTCCTCAGTACTTTGCTTCAGAGCGGCAAGCATTCTGGCAACTTGAGTATCTGACCGCAAGTGCGGACATGTACGCGAATACCCATAATGGGCAAGCCCGCACAGAGGACAGTGTTCGACGCCTGCCATCTTCAGGCGGCAATGTCCAACTACGTGGACCCGGTTGCACGCTAAACAGGGTGGCCCCGGATGGAGGACGGGGTCTACATTGCCATCTAACGGGGGCGGTAGATTCTGCTTGGTAACGCGTTGGAAAGCACGCACTGTGGCTTCTGTTAGTTGCCAGAAGACCTTACTCGATGCAAGGGCGCTCTCACCTTTTGCGACCTGGTCCATGTCGTCGGAATCCAGCTCGGGCGCAAAATCGGATTCTGATTCCATTGCGTCGTCCGCTCTGAACTCCCTGTCACTTTCCACCTCCTCACGAGCATGGCGGTCTTTGTTAGGCGACAGCTCCATTAAAGTATCGTTCGCATAATCCACAGCAGTCCGTTTACGTTTCCCACGACCAAGGGTTTCAGCCTTTCGTCTGGCTTCCTCAGCAGCTGCCTGCTCTCGCTCCCGCAGGATTTTTTCCCAAACATCTGCACTTGGCGCAGGCTCTTCCTCCACGTTCTGCAGTTGATCCTCGAGATTCTGGTTATCGTTCGCCCAAACCCGAGCAAAACTGAACTGGTTACCCTGATTGCTGTCATCGGGTGTGCTAGCTTGCTCGGCTTGACTGCGGTCAAGAAGTTTGTCAACCGATTCCGGATCGTAGCGGACGTCGCCAGAGTCATCGTCATCAAACAAGGCCTGAGCACCGTGCCGCAGAATGGTCTCCAGGTCTCGTCCATCGTCTTCCTCCGAAACCATGCGATCAATGAGGACATGGTCAAGAACCATTTTCTTCTTGCCAATCTGCATGATCTTCTCTTCGGCACTTGCCCGGGTCATGAGCTGAAAGACGAGGACCTTGTTCTTTTGTCCTATGCGATGAGCACGGGACAATGCCTGCATATCCTGATGTGGGTTGAAATCGGGATCCATAATAATTACAGTATCAGCGGTAGCTAGGTTAATTCCAACGCCACCAGATCGAGTTGATAGGAGGAATGCAAAGTACGGTGAGTCTTCGGCATTGTATGCATCGATAGTCTTTTGTTTCTCGAGCGATGACATTCTCCCATCGAGGCGAAGATACATTAAACCGACACCTTCCAGAAAATCTTCAATGATGTCCAGATTCTCAAGGAATTGACTGAATATCAGAACCCTGTGGCCGCGGTTCTTGAGTTTGGGCAGCATTAGTTCCAATAGCTGGAACTTGGCAGCTGCATCTACCAAATGTCGATGCGAAACGGCAGCGTTGCTCGTTTTTTCTTCGATGGCCCTGCTGTAAACAAACGGATGACATAGGCATTTCCGCAGCTGCATCAAGATATTGTTGAGATTATGCTTTTCAGTCTGTTTCAAGGCACGGGTGCCTTCTTTCCTCTGGAAGATTGCCTTGATAAGCTGAGGGTTCTTAGCCAATATGGATTTGTACAGTTTCTTCTGCACCGTAGTCATCGAAACAGGGACAATAATCTGTGCCACTGGGGGAAGAAAACTGAGCACCTGGGCTTTTGTCCGTCGCAAGAAGAATGGACGAATCATATTATGTAGTTCAAGTATATTCTCCTTTGATAAATCCCCATACACGTTTTCGAGGTCATCTGCCCTCTTAGACGGATCACAGAATTGCAACAAATTAAAAAGCTCTCTTATGTTATTCTGGAGGGGAGTGCCCGTCAAAAGAATCTTGAAAGGAAATTTAATTCGTGACAATGCATCGTACAGTTGACTTTTATCGTTCTTTAGCCGTTGCCCCTCGTCCACGATGAGGCCAGCCCAAGGTACTTTCGATAGCAGTCTTCGGGATGCGTCGTCGACAAGGGTTTCGTACGAAGCTACGACAACGTGGCACCGAAGGCTTGTATCGTCATCAGCGAACATTTCATAGTCTTGTGCTAACTTCCGCGAGAATGCCGATCCATAGTATGTGACTACCCGCAGTGAGGGAACCCATGTTTTGATCTCCTTCCGCCAATTCGGGCACGTCGAATTTGGCACAACAATCAGGAAAGGCCAGCATTTATGATATTGAACAAGGGTTGCGATTAGGCCGATGACCTGAATGGTCTTACCGAGACCCATTTCATCAGCCAAGATAGCGTTTTGCTGTTTGTACCACATGTAGTAGAGCCAGTCAAGTCCGTCCTTCTGATAATCCATGATCTGTCCGCCTGTCATTGTCTCTGGCTGCCCACTTTTGACAACATTGGAGCTGAAGTTTTGCTTCCGAACGTGAGCAATACGCCGTCTGAGGTTGTCTTGGTTGGGTATGTGAGTATACTCCCTTTTGACCCAGTCTTCGTATGCAGCTCGGTAACTCTCCCACCTCTCAGGGTTGCTGCTGCGCTCGGGAGGCGTGTCCCAGGTGACCTCCTCATACGGTAAACCTTTGAATTTGACGTACATTTCTACCACATCATCCACACGTGCAACGTCTTCTTCGAAGGTACGTTTGCGGCCTGTGTCAGGCGAGGTGCCGGAGAATCTTACATCAAAGACAATGTCCACGAGTAAGAAGTCCTCAGGAATTGCTTCCTCGGCGGTCATACAGGGTTCGAGGCTTTTATCTGACCTCATAAAGGCACGTCGCATGTGATGATTCACAAAGCCCCAAACCCAGCTGCCCGGCATCCAGGTGGTGTGGTTGTAGGACTTATTCTTCCACTTGATAAGGTACTCCCTATCTGCTCCCTTCGCGGCATCTGACTTGTGGACCACAGGGCGCCATGCGACTATCGCGCCAACTTCTCCAGGTACTGATGCACAACTCTCACACTGCCATGTCATGTGCGTTATTTCGGATAAGTGTTCGAAGTGGAAGCCTCTGCGGCAGGTGGTGCAGCGGAAGAGCAGGTTCTCGACGTCGTTGACCCGGGACATGTCAAAGGGCGTTATAGGATCTTTACCATCATTCTGCTGCCGGAGTTGTTGCTCCTGCTTGGGTGTCAGACGCTCCCGGATCGGTTTAGACATATTCCCTTTGATATTGCAAATTGAACAGCGGCCTTGATGTGGGTTAGAGGGGTCCTTGGCATGAGAAATACCCAGACAGCGCCGGCACTGGAGAAGAAATAAATCTTCAGCCACTTTTGTGACAAGATGTTCTCGCGCAGAGCGTGGACCGAGACACCCTTGGTGGTTGGCGCTCGTACATCCTTGACAGAAAACCAGAGGGCCTTTCGCGTAGTCATCGCCAATGATGTGGCAGACTTCGCATACATTCCTATGGCGTTGGCGAAATGTATCATGCTCTGGGACTTTGCGAAAGAACTCTTTAGCCCCAAAGAACTTCTGCATCCGAGGAGCATCCTCAGCATCTGAAATGTCATCTTCATTCCTCTCGCGCAAGCTTCTCTTCTTTGACTTCCGCGTCCTTGTAGAATGCCGTGTGCCGTTGGGTGCACTATAATCGCTTTCATCGGAAAGCGAGACGACCGAACGCGTATGCTTTTCGCGGCGTCGCAAGACTCGACGCTTCTTAGAGGTAGCCCCTGAAGACGCAATTATGTCCTCGCTTGAAGGCGACCTCTTCCTTCTGGTGCGGCGGGTTCCTTCATCACTGCTGATGGCCTCAAAGAATGCTGTGAAACCAGATCGTTGACCACGAGTAGTGCGCCGGGAACGCCTCATATCGGGTATATCTGACTCAGAAGAGGGAGACTGTTTTTCGGAAGGAACAGCTGAAGCTGACCGAGAGGAGATGTAGTGATCTGGTCCGTAGTTGAGGAAGTTGGAGAGAGACTCGGGACCGTTCTGGAGGGACTGTAGTTGCGCGAAGGACATCTAAGAAAGAAGTCGATTGTCAGTGATATGACGGAGAAGTGAGAGTCAAAAGAAGCCCACGAGATACCTACAGTTTCAGTTTCACCACTCTGCAGCTTCACCTGATAGCTCAGTCCAGCATCTGCCTCGGATATTTCACTAATGACATAGCGGACGTCAAAATGTCCGGGAAGAAACTCGTACTGCGACAGATCACTGGTTGATGTGGCTGGGATTTCAACCGTGACAGAAGGCTCAGATACTGATTGCGGCTCAAGCTCTTCCTCACGACTCGCTGTGGGATTGTTGAACTTGGCGAAGAGCTCCTTGACCATATCTCCATCGTTGTTTGCATTATCCGGCCCCTCGCCGCTACCGAGCGTTTGTAAAAGGAGATCCATGATGCGGGGAGACTATTAGAGCAACAAAATACTCAACAACAAACGCTATTCTAAAGCAAGTGACCACATAGAACGACCGTTAAATGAGCAATATGCGCGCTAACATAATTGCAGTTGGACCCCCAATTCCGAAGCGGGTGATAATGAGATTCCAGACTCGCGCGTTTCCCCGACAAACGCGAAATTCCGCGGCGGAGCAATATTGATGCGCTTATCTTATCGGGCGGTGAGCAGGAAAAAACCACCTCCAAAAAGGCGGAGATCGTCGTTGGCAGGACTCTCCGCCTAGCATACATCTCCCAACGCCAGCAGAATTCTTACCGTCTTCAAGCTCATTGTTCGAGAGTGGATGGAAAGAGAGGGTTTCTAATCTCTATAGACCGGTCTCTACTGTCCGTCACAGCTCTCTGGACTACGATGTCTCTCCAATCGTCTCTCACCTCTCTTCGAGCTTACCTTCGACCCTCAATAGCACCGTCAGCTCATTTGCACCCCGTCAGACATGCATCACTGAACTCGGCCATTGGCCGGGGCATCCGCAGGTCACAATATGTCGATGATGTACCTCAACGACGCAATTCCGCCCGCGATGCTCGGGATGTTGGGCGCAGAAGAAACATGGCCAAGCGTGACAAACGCCCAGAAGCGCGGGAGCACCGGTCTGGAACCGCATTCGACGAGGAAGAGTTCATCAAGAAAGGGACATTTCGCGCATTGCCTCGCGCATATCAAACAGAAAGAACTGTAAATAAAAGAGGGAAAGATGGAAAGAAAATCTATACGAATGAGGAAATGAGGCACCCTGATTATGTCGGCGATGATCAGGAAATCAGGAGTGGGCGTTTCCGCACATTATCCCAGGATTACCAGAGCAGGCGTCCTCCGCCTCGCGAACATCGCCCCACCGACAAATTCCCCGAAGAAGTCAAAAGTTTCGTCAAAGTTCCCCTCTCAGTGCCTTATACCACGCCTGCATCGCAGTTTGTTTATGGAATCTCTGCATGTATGGCTGCATTACGTGGCAGCCGTCGCCGGCTATACAAACTCTACCTCTACCAATCAGAGGGCCAAGAATTAACCCCGGAGAAAATAGCTCTACGAAAACTGGCACTTTCGAAGAACGTGCCGGTGAAAATGGCTTTTGCAAGCTGGCGCCGGTTACTTGATCAGATGAGTGATGGCCGACCTCACCAAGGCTGTATTCTTGAGGTATCCCCTTTGCCTCGGCTGCCAGTGCAATATTTCAGGCCCGTTCCATCTCCTGGGGTAGACCACTTCAGCCTAGAGCTGGGAGCGCAATCGCGAGAAGAAGCACAGGTCAATACTATGAACAATACAGTTGACATCAACAACACCTTCGGGAAAAGATATCCTGTTGTTGTACTACTCGACGGCATCGTCGATCCCGGGAATCTCGGCGCCATCATTCGCTCCGCCTACTACATGGGAGCTGACGCCATAGTTTTCGCGGGCCGAAACTCAGCAGAGATATCCCCAGTAGTTATCAAGGCATCTGCGGGAGCCGCAGAACATATGACATTTCTTCACGTGCGAAATGAAGTCGATTTCATTCGACAGTCGAAAGAAAATGGGTGGCGGTTCTACGCCGCTGATGCGCCGGGCAAAGGATCTTCATCTGTATATATGGACCCGGCCGAGTTTGGGAATGAGGGCACTGTCTCCCAGGCACCGAGTGTCATTATGATGGGCAGTGAGGGCGCGGGGCTGAGCCCCCACATCCTTTCCCAGGCAAATGCTGTTGTTGGAATCCCTGGTGCTAAAATCAGCCCCGAGTTGGGCGTGGAGTCAGATCCGGCCAGGGTGGACAGTCTCAATGTCAGCGTTGCGGCTGCTTTGTTGATGAATATGTTCCTTCGGGTGCCGGTTTCATGGGCCAAGAAGGAGGATACTAGGGTCTGGTGAGGAGTGAGCATCTGTACAGTAATAACAACGACATCATATGTACACCTACGTCTGAATCGCATAGTATAATTTCATAGCATACTACTATACTGAGAGGCTTTTCTCGAACGTGAAAAGAATCTCTCAAGACTGTCATACAAGTTAAGCAATCATGACCAGTCGAGGTATGAAGAGCTCTTTCTCCTGTCCTTGAGGCTTCAACCTCAGAAGTCACCGAGCTGAGTAATATACTGGATGATCAGGTTACGAATTCGAGTGCACTATGTGATGGAAGACAACATTCAAAGGTCTTTTTAACCACAAGGTGTCATTTTACAAAAGCGAAGGAGATGGAAGATGATCATAAAACTACAATGGCATCTATCTGCCAACGCCGGACCGACATATATGGAACAAAATAGAACCAACAAACCCTCCCTCCTCAAGAAAAATGGCTTCCCAAACAGTCTACAGAATAGTCGTAACAATCCTCGTCATCGCCCACCTCTGATTACAGGAAGAGATCATTTCTTGCGACTCCTCGACTTGGGTGCCGCATTTGAAGAGACACTGGCTGCCCGCGATGTTGAGGTAGAAGTTGCCTTGCTGCCACCCTTGACGGCCTTGACTTGCTTGTTCTGTGCATTGGTCAGCCGAGCTACTCTCTTATGACTGTTTATGATAGGAATGTCAAGGAAACTTACAACTGCACCGCCCTTCGTCTTCTTCTTGGCGGGTGGGCCCTCATCCTCCTCGGCTTCATCGTCGTCACGGTCACGTCCCCGGCCCTTGCCGCTCTCACCGTTGGCCTTTCCATCAGTTTCGAATTCCTTTGCCACGGTGTTCAGCAGGGTGGTGCACCGACGTCCAATCTCGACTGGGGTTCGACTAAGGAAGAACCAGTCAAACCGGAAGAGGGGAGACTCGCGGATTTCGTCACGGATCTTCTCGTAGAGACCTTCGCCATCGACTCCATATTTGTCCAGCATTACCAACAAGAACCGATCCTCCTCTTCCGTATAGACCTTCTTGTTGGTGGTAGACACAGTGTAGTTGATCTTGACTTGCTGAAGTGGTACGCGGTACATTTCCATCTTCTTGCGCAACATTTTGCGCTGATGATTCATCTTCCGCAATTTATCCTCGCCCTGCTCGATGACACGGAGATACTTGGGATAATCCTGGATTTCCGTGTACCGCTCCCAGAATACTTGCGCGTACTCCTCAATTTCTTCCGGCTCTTTGCTGTCCACCTCGGTGGCGATCCCAACGTAGTCAGTACGGCCGAACTTGGCCGAACCGTTCACGAACTGTTGGAAATCCCTGCGGTTCCAGTTGGAAAAGCCTTCTTCAGACATCTTCGCCTTCTCCGCCTGCTCATCCTCCGTTAGTGGCACTGCATTGTCAATCTCCTGTTGTTCGAGATCACGTTCGGCCTCGCGCTCGCTCAGCTCTTCTTCCGGACCATCAGGCAGAGGAACCTTGTACCCGATTTCCTTGTGGAAGTAGGCCGTCTCCTTCTCCTGCAGCTCCTGAAGCCCAGGCGGGAAGAATTGCCAGTCATGGACAGTGATCTGCTTTGGCGCCCGAGGAACCTTGGGCTTGGGATCAGCCGTTCTACCACCAGTTGCCAAAGCCTGGCGATAGTATTTGTCGATAGAATAAAACTGTTCCTTTCGCTCTCTCTTCGCCGGGTTGATCCAGTTGATACCAATATCCTTCTTGCGATCGGTGAAGTCTTTGCCGTTCCATTCGTACGCACTTTCGGAGCTGAATTTCTGCAAGTCGTCGATACCAAGCTTTTCATACTTCTTGTTCAATTGCGCAGTCCGCTCCTCGCCCTTTCGCAGAATGTTGTCGATATCATCTTCGGATATCTGGTGTTCCGCAGATATGGTGGTGTTGGCCTGGGTGTTGAAAACATTGGCAGCTCCATGCTGGATCATACCCAGCAATTCTTCCTTGGACGCGGCATTCTTCGTCTGCTGCTGCGCGCGTCCCTGTTGAATGACAAGCTGGTCGAGCCGCAACTTCTGTGCGGCACGTTCTAAGACTTTTTCTTCGATCGCATTCTCTGTAACAAACCTGAACACCACGACCTGTTTCGTCTGTCCGATACGATGGGCACGGTCCATTGCTTGCAAATCCGCCTGAGGATTCCAGTCACTATCAAAGAGAACGACAATATCGGCCGTCGTCAGGTTGATACCAAGACCTCCGGCTCTTGTTGTGAGCAGGAAGATGAACTTCTCTGAGCCCGGCTTATTGTACTCGTCGATAGCAGCAATTCGGTCCTCGTGGGCCGTTGTACCATCGATGCGGCAGTAGTTGTATTCGCGGAAAACACAGTAGTCTTCGAGAATATCAAGGACACGACTCATTTGGGAAAAGATGAGTACGCGACTTCCCTGTTTCTGCATACGCGCCAGCAATTTGTCAAGAATAGTCATTTTTCCAGCATTGTAAATGAGATGCTCATCGGTGGTGTAGGGTGGGCCAGGCTCAGCACCTTCAAAAAGGTAGGGATGGTTGCAACATTTGCGAAGTTGCATGACGATATTCAACAAACGGGTCTTTGACTCACGCTTGCCAGCGGCGCCATTGACCGCATCGATATCTTTTTCGAGGATCTTCTGATACCACTTGACCTGCATTTCCGACATGGGGACGTAAAGATTGACCTCCTTCTTGGGCAGCAAGCTCTTCTCGACATCACTCTTGACACGACGAAGCAAGAAAGGTCGCAGAACGCGATGGAGTTGTTGTACGACTGTATCCTGATCGGAGTCTTGTCCGGAGAACCATTGGTCGAATGCCTCCGAATCACCGAAAACATCTGGCAACAGGAAGTTGAGGAGGGCCCAAAGCTCGTGGAGGTTATTCTGCAGTGGGGTACCGGTAATCAGTAGTCGGTTCCTGGAATGGAAAACACGGATTATTTGCGCCAGAGAAGACTCCTCGTTCTTGATCCGATGGGCCTCGTCGATGATGATGTACTCCCAAGCGAACTTCTTAAGGTGCGCCTTTTCTCGAAGAATCATCTCGTAACTAGTGATACAGACGTCGAAGTTCTCATCGAGAAGCTCCTCATTGATCAGTTTGTGTCGCTGTTCCTTGTCACCCTGAAGGACAAGGACATTGACCTCAGGTGTCCATTTTCCAAACTCTCGCTTCCAGTTATCGAGGGTAGATTTCGGGACGGCGATGAGGTGCGGGCCGGTGATCTCGCATACATGTCGGAGGTAGCCAAGGAAAGAAATGGTCTGCAAAGTCTTGCCCAAGCCCATTTCATCCGCCAAGATACCTGAAATACCGTTCTCATGCAGCGAGACTAACCAGTTCAATCCTGCAATCTGGTAATCGCGCATTTCTCCCTTGATGAACGGCGGGGAGTCCCGAAAGACCGTGTTGGTTTCGCCGCCGGATTTTTCATCTTTCAACAGCTCGGCGTCTTCTTCCTGCTCTGTTCTGCGACGCCTTTCACTACCTGCACCGCCTGAGCGCGACGAGCCCTTCTTCTTGGCCTTTGCCTCCTCCTCAGCATTCTGCCGGTCGATTTCGGCCATGATCTCCTTGATCCGCGGATTAGGGTTGGTTTCGATGAAATGACGGAATAAATCGGTTAAGCCGAGGAGGTAGCGAAATCGTCGGATAGAATCATCTTCCTATAGTGACACACACCGTGAGCGACAAATCATCAAAACACGACCATCGCATTGGCGTACCTTCGATTCATCCAAACGACCATGCTTCTTGCCCAAGATACTCTTTCTCATGTGGAAAGCTTCAGACCTCCGTCTCCGGCCATCCAAAGGCGCTGCGTCGCCTGCAACACTGCTCGCCGTGGTATTTGGGTTTGTATCCGAGTCCTAATTTGTGTTAGTCGGCTCATACGTCAGGCAGATCGCTGAGTAATTGGAACCGCGTTTACCGTGTAGTCTGGAGTGTCCTGGTAGCCCTGAATTAGGAATGTTGTCAGCGGGAGCGCTTTGCCGTCAAATCAAGGACGCGCTTGAAGATAATACATGGCGCAAAAGAGGGGATTTGCGCTAACTCACCGTCATCGGCGCGTCTGCGCTATCCACGGGTACCGACGTGACAGGCTCAGCATTCGCGTCTGTCATAGGGGTATCTGCCTGTGATGGCGAGTCGGGTGTCGGTTCAACTGAAGGAGCCATCGCCATCCACAGCGCACCGAGCGCAGCTGTTCGGTACTATACAAAGCGGGACACGGTTTGATATTGTAACAACCCAGGGTAGAAAGCTATCGATAAGACCCCTAGGAATATGTAAGATCAACTACCTCTTGAAAAGCTGGCTGTAGAAGATCTGGTGGGAGAAATTGAAGTCGGGGGGTGCGCACAAAGGAGGTGCGAAAGGAACAAACAGTGACGGATGATGAAAGGACGAAGAAGCACCGCCAGTCGCGCTCATGGGATGGCAAATGGAATTTCGTCGGAGAAAGCGCGGCCAGGGCACGCGCTCATTGGACGGGAGACGCGAGGGCGTGACTGAGTCATTTCTGAGTCAGCAGTTGGCGGAAGACCAGTTTCCCCGCTGTGGGTCACGTTACCGGGACAGACGCAAAGAAAGATCAGCTGCGCCAGCGTCCTTTCCGAACGGTCATCGCCAGCCAACGTCCTTTGTTTGCCTGCGGATCTTGTTGTTTCTCCCTCTATAACGCCCCATCTTTGGGCCTGTCTCTTTTAGTCCAGACTATCAGTCATATCTGCCTCTTCCTGATCTTTCTTGGGGTTGCCTCGGAGTTTGCCTAACCCCCTGTTTCCCAGAAGCACGGTTCAAGTCACCCCTCCTAGTGACGCCAACGCTAGTATTTATTGTCAAAAGTCTCCCAGGCAGACTGCTTCTGCCACCACACACCACATCATGGACTCGATGAGATCCCTAAACACGTCACTGCCCAGCTCGACGCCTCGGCCACAACCTCCTGAGCAGCTCCTACAGTCGTTCAAGGCTGCTGCTCTCTCCGTCACGAACCTCTACAAGAATGCTGTCTACGAACAGTCGCAAGCCAAGCAAGCTGGATACCAAGAAGCAATTGAGGATTTACTGCACTTCCTAGACCGGGAGAACCTCGGTCTTGGGGACGGGGAGGGCTGGAAAGTTCGGCAATGGGCCACGGAACGGAGTGATGGAAGTGGTGCCCCTAGCGACGATGATGAGGTTGAGAAACAAACCAGAGGCGCAACGCCGGCTGCCGCCCGCAAGGCACAGCCAGAATCCGAACCGATCCGACAGCCTTCCAAGTTATCGTCGGAGGAGCAAGCTCCAGCCCCGCCGCAGCAACAGCTGCCAACACCTTCGACCCCTCATGCCTCTGAATCAAACGACTTCGATCGACCAACTATCTTTACGTTTACTGCCGGGCCCACCTTTCCGCAATTCCCAGAACAAGACATGGACATGCAAGCAACCGACAATTCGACTCCAGCGTCTCAAGATGGTGCCCCGGTCAGCGTCTCCGTCCTGCCTCGAAACGCCCGGCAACAGAATCGTCATAATAACTTCACCCGCTCAAACACTCGGTCGTCCCCTCATGAACCGTCCGTCGGGATCGGTTCGAAACGAAAGCTGAACGTGCCCGATTTCTTCGACTTGTCTGGTCTAGGCAATCGAGACATATTTGGGGGCGGCAAACGTGGCCGCTTCACCTAGAAAATATGGTATCGACGAATAGACGAGCATATATTCTCACGGTCACGCAGCGGTCAATTGCATTTTTTGTGGTTTCTTCTTTGTTTTTCTTTCGGTGCATTAGTAGGAGTATTGCATGTGGCCCTTTGGTGGGCCACGGGTCATCTTTCCGCAGTCATCTTCATTCTATCCTTGTGCTCATATTCTCTTTGTTTACATCATTTCCTTGTCATATCCCATTTCCTTCGGTCATCATTACTATTAAATATAGAGGTTATCAGACATGGCGATACCCGGTGAGGCGGCTAGTGTTATATTAATCGTACGATCCTTTCTATATACTGTTTTGTACATGTTCATTAGTGGTGAAGCGCTTGACTTGATGTGCATTCCCGTCATCAGAAGAACCAACTCCAGAGTAGAATATATGGTATAGAGTACATGTTATACAAAGCGTCGTGGTTTCATCAGTTGAAAGCTCTATATATCCCCATCCCAACTAGTGTCGCAGAGATGGTGAAGAGCCCGAGACGTCGAGATCCCATCTTATACTTGGTTGTTCCTTGCATGATTGCCTTTTCATTCATCTTGAGGTTCTTCAATCCCGAGTAGTAGCTGTATACACCGAGACCGATGAATGCGGCGGATCCTGCAAGCCATCAGATTAGCTATAGTATCATGATTATCGCCCAGAAAGAAAGATCAAAGTACCAGTAACTCTGCACGATAGACAGTCATCATATGCGTCCTCCGCAAGTGCACGCTTCGCGTCCTTGGGCTGGACATCCAAGGCGCTGTTATTCTGGGTAGACGAAGACATTGTTATAGAATCAATGAGAGACACAAAAGAAAAAGGGTCGTTTAGAGAGCAGTCCAGACGAGTCTCGATCCAGGAGACTAGCTCGTTGCGGCGAGCTGCAGCCATTCAAAGGAAATGCATGAGAAGGCGGGGATCGGCGGCAGAACGAGGGGCTTTTGGACTCCGCTAAATGGGGGCCGATGGATCACCGACCATCATTGCTGCACCATGACCACCTCTGCCTACTACATTACGCCCCTACCGGTCGGGATAGGTCGCCTTCGCCATCATGAGCGGCCAGATCGATGCGCTTTATATCTATGATGAGCAGAGGCACGCCGTTCCTTCCAATGTTCTGATTCTCAGCAGTCACTGACCTGTTTTCTTCCAGCAATCCGATCGTCGAGCAGGTCTATCGCTCCCGTCCGCCCTCCGCATCGGCCATTCTCCCCCTCTATAACGCCTATGCAGCTCCGCGCCCGTCACTCATTTACTTTCCAAACACAACCCCGCCGGTAACAGTGTTCTCGGTAGTGCAGTCCAACCTGCTATTCTTGGCGCTGTCCGAGGTAGATACGGAACCGCTGCTCGCCTTAGAATTCATTCATCGGGTTGTTGATGTTCTCGAGGACTTCGTTGGAGCACCATTGCTTTCCACCAAGATCCAGGCGAACTATGATGTGGTCGCACAGCTTCTGCACGAAATGTGCGATGCGGGGGTTGTTTGCAATACAGAGCCCAATGCGCTACAGGAGGTAGTGGAAATGCCAGGATGGATGGGGAAGCTGTTAGGCGGCGTTGGATTGCCTGGGTGAGTGCCCACCATTACCGGATGAAGGTCACCATGCTATATACAGTGAATTGACGGCTTTCTTATGCGCAGATCGTCGACACCGATCCTGGGACAACCCAGTGCCATGAAGCAATCAGCCGCCGCCGCGGCCCAAGGACCTGCAATTCCCTGGAGAAAGTCCGGAGTGAGACACACTTCCAACGAACTGTATGTTGATATTATCGAGTCACTTTCGGTGACGATGGCGCCATCAGGACGAATACTCTCTGCGATGTCTTCCGGTACTATCGCCTTCACCGCCAAGATATCCGGTGTCCCTGATCTGCTTCTTTCGTTAACAGCACCCGGTGGTCAAAAAGCCTTGGGACGTAAGTTGGAGCTGCCGGTTTTTCACCCATGTGTGCGACTGGCGCGCTGGCGGGAGAACCCTGGCGAGCTCAGCTTTGTACCACCAGACGGGCGGTTCATTCTTGCCGGGTACGAGGTGGACCTTATGCCCACAGACCCTACACTTGATCAACCCCCGAGTCATATGGAGAAGCTTTTCTTGCCGGCTATTGTGGACATTTGTAAATCGCTTGGGCCGTCTGGCTCAGACTTTGAGGTCCGCCTTATTCTCAACACAAATTTCCCGGGATACTCGTCCTCTAGCCGACCTGGTGTCGGGCGTAGCGGATCAGGCACATCTACACCCTCTTTTCTCGGGGGTGGAGGCGGCAACTCCTCAGCGCCAGCGCTAGAAGAGGTTGTGGTGACCGTCCCGATTCCGAAATCGGTCCGGAACATCACAGACATGCAAGCCAGCCGTGGAGAGGCTTTATTCTCACCGGGCAACGGCGTATTAGAATGGCGCGTGCCGACCAAAGATGCCGGCACAATTTCCGGGACGGCGACGCTCCGGTGCACCGTCGTAGGACACTATGCGGATGACGAGCTGGACGACGACGTCGAAGAAATCGACGCAGACACCAATCTCCTTCAGGGCTACTACGACGCCAGCGCGTCTTACCAGAACCCTGAGGCAGACACGACAAAACGCAAGACTAAGAAAAAGAAGAAGAAGAAGGTCGTCAAGAAATCATCTTCCCGCGCAGCAGCAGCGGCAGCGGCAGCAGAAGCCTCAGCTTCTTCGCCCGCTGAACCCCTCTCCTTGAACCCGGAGGATCCCGAACAACTCACACATACTCCTACTCCTGAACCCGAACAATCGCAGACGCTTACACCGCCCGTTCAATCATCCTCGCCGCAACCTCCACCGTCACTTCCCCGGTCACAGTCACAATCACAGAAACAGTCACCCAGCCGAGCCTACTCGGATTCCTCCATCTTCCTTTCGGCGCCCCGTAAAACCAAGACCCAACTAAACGCGACACTAATGCCTAATTCGGCAGCGGTGTCGTTCTCCGTTCGTGGCTGGCTTCCCTCAGGGCTCAAGGTAGAGAGCCTGAACATCGATCCGCGGCGGAGTCGCGGACTAGGCGAGGGAGTGAAACCATATAAGGGAGTGAAATATATCTGTATGAGTCGGAAGGGAGTGGAACGGAGGTGCTAGATACTACATTGCTATACATCTAACAATTGATATATTGGATATGACAAGTACTTTAGGATTACTGCCAACTCCAGCACTTACTGTAAAACGAAGGACATACTAGTATGAACTGTTGTATGAGTTTCTGACTTTCTCTCGTACTAATAAGATTATGAAATTCACATTTCAGCATCACACATACTATATACATATTCTCATTAGGACTATACAACCCATCAGTCTCAACAGTATATACACCCACACCTCCCCAATCTAAACATAAGCATAACAAAACGGCCCCTTGGTCGTACTCATCAACTCCTTCATCCTCCTCGGCACTCCATTGGCATACCCCAAATCCACAACCGTCTGCAAGGTAGTATTCTTACTAGCCGGCTCATTCAAGAACGTTCCCGTTCCCGAGATCGCATACTCCCTACTCTTCAAATCCAGATTCTGCCAAATCCACCAAACCCGATCAATCATACCATGATGATGCCAGAAAGCCGGATCTCCAGGGCTAACATAGACATCTCGTCCCGGATCCCCACCCATACTATAGTGTCCGGAGCCATGAACACCAATCGACCCACTGCCAGGCACACCCTGCATGGTCATCTCGAAGTCCCAGACATCGTCGTTATCCAGGATAAGCGAGGTGATCTTGGGGTAGGTGTTGTACTTCTGCAGAAGGGCGGTGGTGAGACTGCGCTTCATGCAGCGGGGGTTGTAGTTGAGGGGGTTGGAGACAGAGGCGGTACTGCCGCCGGGGAGGGAGAGCGCGGCGGGGCCCATGTTTACAGTGTAGTTCTTGAAAGGTCCGCTGGTTACGCAGCCGCCGCCGGTACCCGGGGGCAGGATTATGGCGGCGTAGTTGCCGAGGTAGAGGGAAATGTTGCCTTGGTTGGGGATGTAGTAACCGTTGCCGGACATGGAGGTCTCAGAGCCGTCGAATACTTCGGACGCTTCCATTGTGTGGATGGCGTCGTAGCCCCAGTCCCAGTATCTGCGGGTTGAGGTTAGTTGGGGAGTTTGGGGGTGAGGGAGAAAAGAGGGGCGTACGGGAAGTCGCCTGTGTAGTGGCATTCATCACGAAGGGCTTGCTCGAATTCAAAAGTGAAGTAGCGGTGCCATGCGAGGAAGGTTCCCTGAAACACTTATTAGTGTTCTGGATGGGTGTAGCGGAGAAGTAGTAAGGTATACCGTATAGTGGATCTCCAGAGTCTGGTTGATATGCGTGGCGAGGAAGTCATCGTAGCGAGTCTTAGCACCTGGGGCTAGATGCGACGGGGTGCGCGAGGGAAGCTTCTGCAGACAGAGCACCGAGTTGATGTACTCTTTCTTCTCGGGCTTCGAGAACGTCCGCCAGTCACGGCGGATCCGCAGCGTTCCTCGCGTGCAGGCCTGCTTGTCCTCGGAGCTGCTGGGGAGATTGGCCAGAGTCTGGTCAAAGGCATAGCTCGACAATTGCTCGAGCTTGGCAGCTGCGGCAGCCACGGCAGCGTCGGATGCAGGTGGGCTGGCCAGAGCCGTATGGGAGGCTGTGGGCACGGCCCAGGCCTGCGAAGCAAGCAGGCCCAGACTGAGGGCCTTGAGAGCAACCATTGGGTTGGCTTTAGGGCAGTGAGAGGCAGAGGCAGGACAGAACGGGAACGCAGCCTGAGCAGAGAAAGAGGGTCCCCGAAAGGGGAATGCCAACCCTTTAAGTGTTCATCCCTTGTTTAGATCGCCTAGATGCTCGTATCTCGCTATGGGCACGAGGCTATGCTATTGAGATCGGATGGCCGGCGAGAAATAGCACAAAGCCCTAATGGACTAGGATGCTGGCCGAGCAAACATGGAGTTCGAGACAGCTCCAATAACAATGGCAGTCTAAGCAGTTAGGGTGATGCGCTGTCTGCTCTAGGCATGTCCGAAAGCTCCACTATCGGTTCCAGACTCCGCCAGAGTTGACCGGACGGGATGAGTACATATGAATGGTGAGAATCATGTTTGCTGGGGTAGGATCGGAAGGCTCTGAGCCATCGAAAGGAGAACGTGGATGGTGGATGTTAATAGTGAGAATGTCATATATGCAGGGCTATCCCAATGTTGTACTTCCATGAAGAAGATGCCTGGAGAAGAGTAAGTTTCGAGAGTATCATACGGTATGGGACGGAACCCGCTAAGCGATGGCGGCTCGCGGGTCCGACTGTCTGACACCAAACCGGTTCCACCCTCTTTCTCCTTCCTCCAACAACCAAGGCTCCCTCCTCCCCGGCTGGATCGGATCCTTCGATCCCTCCCAATATCTCCCAATGCCCTGAAAGTGGAATCGCTGCTCTCAGTGGCTTGACCCGCTCATCGATCGATCCCTGAACGATCCCGCCTGTGGTCCAAGTGTGATCCTCCATCCAAGACCAAACACAGACGATCAGTAAACATTGCGAGCCAGATCTACCAATGGAGCATTGTATATGCGTAACATTCTGCTGTCTTTGGCTTGCTTCAAGCCATTTTTACTAGTAAGCTATCTTACTATGGTCCATTGTGTGAGACTTCCAGACCAACTGGCTTGGTGCTTGACTAGGCGAGAGAAATTAATTTATATCTAGATGAACCCTAATCCTAGCTCTTACGCTAAGTAAACAAGTGCTGTGCCGCCGGAGATTTCCGCTCGCAATGACAGGAATAAACAGATTCGAGTACACGTACTCTTACAGGGGAATCGCCAGGGGTTTCGCGTTCGGCCTGTGTTTAGTGTGTGGGACTTCAAGCTGATGCGCGGATGGCACGATGTCAGCTCCACTCACAAACGTTGTTGAGCCGTTCCGAGGTTCTACCTGAACGTTCAAGGTTCAACACATGTACTTGAGCCATCTCATTGGTCATGTTCCTGTTCAGCCGTCCTTAATGCCTCGGACATACTGTAGATACCGTGACCTATTGGAGGCCTTCCCAGGGGACCGACTGGGTCCCCTCGCTGAGATTGAGCGACTTTGATTAGATTGTACCTGACAGAGGAAGGTGGCAGAGCTGAACCGAACGGGTCGACTGCGGCATGGACAACGAAGCAGATGATTACCAGTTCTAGCATCGGAGATCTTGGTAGTGGAATCCTTTACCACTGGAGTCCAGAGCAGCAGGAAATCCTAGCTTCCTAGACATTCCTCTAGTTCTCTAGCGTTAACTTTCATTGCGACGCTCCTGGAAAAGGATTACAAGCATACGACCGGCAGAATAGGCCGCTAGCTCGTGTGGAAGGCTTTCGCAAGCTCTGATCCTGCGATCTGGGTGACCCGATGCTATATCGCCCATTTGCCCCCTCTGTTTTCCAAGGACACTCATGATCGTACCATGACAAGCATACCCCAGTTTGAGTGCAATTATGGCGGCAAATTCTCATCTGGGGGGCGCGGGCTTGCCTGACGTGAGCCAGGGACCCCAGATCTTGGCAGCTACATCGATCACCACGGCTTTTGCATTACTCACGGTCCTAGCCCGGATGTATGTCCGTGTGTTTTTCATCCGGAATGTCGGGCCCGATGTGAGTATAGGACAAATAGCAGCAGGAGAATGGACACTGACCTTTAGCTAGGATTATATCATGGTGCTGACCATGGCACTTGTAACCTCCCCTCCCGACGCACTAGCAGCCTGGAATCTGACAATGACGCCCATAGTCACTCGGTGGATTTGCTGTGATAATACCAGAGGTCATATATGGTGCAGGGAGACATACGGTCTATGTGGAGGATACGGCCTCCATAGCGACGCACCTGAATTTCGCCACTCAGGGTATCTATATGTGGGCAATCGGGCTCGTCAAGATCTCCATTGGGCTGTTTCTCCTGCGGTTTGCCCCGCGACGGAGCTACAAGATATTCATCTGGGTAGTCATGGGTATGTCATGAACCTAGCTGTATGCTGGATATTTGCAGGGAGTTGGGAACTGCTTTGATCAGCTAGTCCTGCTCTTTCTATTCTATCGAATGCTAATGAACGTGACAGTGGTCATGCTACTCTATACCATAATATGCTTTCTTGTTTGTCACACCCGTCCTGTATAATAAATCACTACTAATGATGGCAGACACTCATGTTTGAGTGTAAGGATATCCGATCTATCTGGGATGAGAATGTGAAATCACAGTGTTTCACATCCTCACAGCTCCTAAAATTGAGCTACACAAATACCGGTAGGGAACTTGCTCGGATTCTTAGGATATTGCTAACGATCCCAGGTCTCAATATCCTGACAGACCTCATATTTGCCATTCTACCGGCGATAATGCTACGGTTCGTCCTCATTTCAAAACTGCAAGATTTCCCCAACTGACAGCCACAGACATTTGCAGGTTAACCGACGTGTCAAGGCCTCGTTAGTCTGCATATTGGGACTGGGGATATTGTAAGCAACCAATATATTCCCCCCTTCCCCCATTACTACATCCTCTAACCAAACGTCAGTGCCTGCGCCGCAGCAATCGTTAAGCTCTCCGTCCTGCCCAACTATGGTCGCACCGGCGACCTCCTATGGGACTACTCCACCCTTACGATTTGGGTCGTGTACGCAAAACTCCCTACCTTTTACCACCCAAACTGACAAAACCCACCACAGCGTCGAGTCCAACATGGGCATTATAGCAGGCAGCCTACCCACACTTAAGCCCCTCTTCAAGCAATTCCTGGGCATATATGGATCCCAAACGAAAACACGGCGCTACACATACGGCAGTAAGAAGTACCGACTACAATCGTTATCCCCATCCTACCCACAGCCATCCATCCGCAGCAGACCACTCAGCGTACTGGACCCGGACGACCTAGAAGAAGGCGATCCCCGTGCTGCCCAGAGAAACTCCAAGTACGGAACAACAACGACCAAATACCACTACCGCGATGGTAGCCACACCAGCGAGGAATATATCCTGACCCGTCAAGAATCAGCGGGAATCGTGCTCACGACAGAGGTGGTGGTCACACATACTACAGCGGAAGAGGTAGTACGAAACAACCGAGGCAAAAGAACACAGTCACCGAATGAGGAGGTATAATATTACAGTCACTTCTATCACCTACTTAAATACCATACTATCAAGCCATATTTACATAGACCTGCCAACAACACTCCAATCCCACTTCTACCTCCAACCCACCCCAATACAATGAATCATCAAGAATATACCCCAGCCCCCACATTCTTCGGCACCTCCACAACCACAGGGCCCAGCCTCCCCCTCAACGCCACCCCAAACGCCTCATCAATCCGTCGCGGCAACTCCCTCGCACTCCTCACAAGCATATTCCACTTCGTACAAAACCTCGTCATCCCCAACACATTCGCCTCCTGGAACCCGTCCGGATGGACTAGTGGATTAACTCCGCAAGTGTGTCAGCTTGCCAGATTTGTTTGAACCGTTTCATGTATTAGGGCTAAATTCATATTTGTGTCAAACCAACAATAATACAAGCCCCTCTCTCCTTGAACAAGTTCAGATGTGATCGAGATGACAGCAGCAACTCAATACTGCAACCAAGATGATAAGGAAGACTTCGGCGACTTTGTGCGCAATGAAGACGAGGAAATGGACCTGGAAGAAGTTGCTGAGCCCTGGGACAGATATGATAAAACGATAACCTCAGATGTCTTCTATCCCATCCGCCTTGGAGACCTGATCAATGAGAGGTACCTGGAAGAGCATAAGCTTGGATCCGGCGGCTTCCCGACAGTCTGGATGGCCACCCATGTCTTTACTGTCCGAACGTGAGAAAATTGTCCATGACTACTTGCATGTCCGCCGCTCTGCAATTGCTAGAGGCGTTGGGGATTTTACATGAAGCCGGAATAGTTCACCGTGGTGAGTGACACCGAAAGGATCCTGCTCTTTTTCTCTATTCGCCCACATGCTGATGTTTATGCTGATGTTTTTTCTAACAGATTTGAATGAGAGAAATTGTATGTGGGGAATGCAACCCCTCCACCATCTACCCAGGAATGCCAAATACAAGGCATTGGGTCGGCCGTTGAAGCAAACAATACCGGTGGACGATCTCTGGAAGGAAGGAGAGCTCGTTGGACCTGCTAATATCCCCCCAAACCTACAAACCCAAAAATTCTATCTCGGTGACTTTGGTCTGGCAAAGAAACTGAGCGATCCCGTGACTCCCTGTGGCTATCCACCATTGCAATATTGTTCCCCGGACCGCCTGCGACATGTGGAGTTACATGATCCTCTTTTCGGAACTTTACCTTGGCAACGTACCCTTTTCTACGTTTTTCAATGGTGGAATTATTGGTGGTTTCGTGTTGTCTTTAGGTCCTTTGCCTGAGGAGTGGAAGGGACTATATACTCATTCCGAGAGCCGTGATTCCTGGTATAATTACCAGAACCAAACTACTCCCGATCCCAAATGGACTCTTGAGTCTAGACTTGCATATTTTCGTCCCGACGCCGACCTAGTGGAGCGAAGCCATGTGCTTTCCATTATATCTCGTGTGTTAACTTATGACCCGGCGAAGCGTATGACCGCATCCCAGCTTCTGCGTGACCCTTCGTTTAGAGCTATCATGGAAATCATGGTTGTTGATACCAAGCTCTTTGTGCTTTTTGGGATTGACGGTGTCACGGCGTGATCTCGCTTCATGTTTTCTTCATTCTGAAAGTTGGAAGTGTAACGGTTTTTTCTTATTTATATATTTATGGGTTAGTGGGGAGTGGGGTTGGGTGGTTATACTCACTACGTGAAGCGAATGATGTATAGATTGGGGTTAATGGATGGTTCTTATATTTTCGGAGTTGGAATGTTTATGTCTCTGCTTTATATATCTCTTTCATTGATCCTTTGGTAAAGATAGTTTGTCAGTGGCTTGTGTGTGTGATTAATCAACTAAGTGGTATAGCTGGCTAGATATATATTCAAGTGTCTAAAACAGGATTCCAAACAGTAGCCTTTGTACAAATTTAGAGAAGGCCTGTTTGGTAGTAATTTACTTGATCATATGAAGGGACCTTGCTTGGTGATATCTATCTCTACGCCATCTGCAGGCTAAGGATAACGTCACGTCAACAACTTGGAGGCTATTTTTCTCTATCTGTATGATCTACACTCGACTTCCTAAGCGAGCTAGCTACTCTGAATTACCAAATTGATGAAGATCGACCTAAACCACTCACTTGAGTTAGATAGCTTCACTACTACTCCGTATGTACATGCATCCCCACCCACCTACCTCGTCGTGTTCGCATACTTTCAGCTAGTTAGATCATCTTACATACATGGTGAATCAATCCCCACCCCAAACAAAAACCAAAGAACAGACTAAAAGGAAGGAAAAAAGGAAATGATCAACGAATGGCACACGGTCATATAGTCGTCCAAAAGCAAGACTAACTCCAAATAGAAGACCGAATCAGGTAAAGATATGCTGGAGCAATTAAAGCTTCGCCAATCGGCGCTCGAGCACTTGACGTGCGATATAGGCCACTAATCATAGACTTGTAAGTAAATGCTCGTACATCGTCTGAACGTTAAGCAAAACATTATGTGTAGAACATTAAGCAATATTATCGATAGATATTATGTTTAGTGTATATGTAAATTACGTATCCAGGGTATCGGGGTATCCAATTAACGTGGAAGCGATGTGCGGGATATATCACTCTCGGTCTGAAGGGGATGCGGAGGTAAGAAGTCTGGCATATCAAACAAACGATACGCAGTGGTGGAAGGGGTCGTAGCGAAAGAACGACAAACGATGATAGTAAAAGAATTACTCACCAGCAGCAACAACAGTGGCACGAGCAGCACCAGATTTGGCACTGCCGCCACCAAGAGTCAAGAAGTATCTGAGCCAGCTCAGCTGGACCTTCTTACAGTCGCGGTCAAAGTCGGGAATCAAAGTAGTAGCCTTCTTAAAAAGCTCATCCTTGCCATTGTAGGGTGGGTAGCGGATGGCGAGGAAGCTTTCGATCCAGCCAGGGCTAGTGGTGATTGTGCGACGGTGCACAAAAACATCGAAACTAGCCTTACCCCTGTAAGCACCTTGACCGCTCTCGCCAACTCCACCAAAGGGGAGAGTGGGGATATGCAGGGCGGCGTCATTGACGGCAACACCGCCGGAGCGGGTCTGTGACAGGACTGTAGCACGTCAGTATTTCAAGTTGTACGGAAAATTACAGCTTCAGGGACATACTCTTCTCAACTTCAGCCTTGGAACCGAACGGGTAGAGTCCCAGAGGCGTGGACTGGACGCCGTTGGCGATCTGGATAGCCTGCTCGACGCTGTCAACAGGCAGGATCGGAATGAGAGGACCAAAGCTCTCTTGTGTAATCATGGAGTCTTCAGGCGAGTCGACCACAACAACGGTGGGCTCGATGAAGCGCTCCGTTTCATCCATGCTGCCACCCATGACAATCTTGCCCTTGGTGTTGTCAATCATGCCCTTGATACGGTGGAAAGAAGCATCGTCAATGATATGGGAGAAGTCCGCAGAGCCCTTGGCACCCTGGGGGTAGAACTCCTTGTAGACCTTCTTGAACTCCTCCACGACAGCATCGACAAGCGGCCTCTCGACCAGGAGATAGTTCTGCGACGTGCAGAGCTGACCGGCGTTCATCAGCTTGGGCCAGAATAGTCTGCGCGCGACCAGTCGGGGGTCGGCATTCTTGGAGATGATGGCGGGGTTGATGCCACCCAGCTCCAGAACAATAGGGGTGAGGTTAGGAGCCGCTGCCTTAGCGATGATGCGACCGACATTAGCACTGCCGGTGAAGAAGATCTTGTCCCAGCGTTCGGCCAACAGGGCCTGAGTCTCGGGGATAGCACCCTGAACGATGGTGTAGGCAGAGGGGTCGAGAGCAGCCTCAATAATCTGCTGGATGACCACCGCACAGTTGGAGGACTTTTCACTAGGCTTGATGACAACGGTGTTACCCGCTGCGATAGCGCCAATAACTGGACCCAGCGTCAACTGGAAAGGGTAGTTGAAAGCACTGACCCCATAACGGTCGCCGTTAGCCTTGTCTCAAACCCCAACCAAAACAAAATAGGGGGGAGGGGAGAAATTTTTGTTGAAAATCCCACAGAAATCAAAAACAAAAAGGAAAAATATACCCAATAACCAAGACGCAACCCAAAGGATCCTTGCGGATCTTGGGACTGGTAAACTTGAAGGTGAGGTCGATATCTTCGGCCTTCTCATCCTTGACCCATTTGGGGAGATTGCGGCAAACGAACACAATGTCATTGAGCAGCCAGGTACTCTCAGCCATGACGGCCTCAAAGAGAGGCCGGTTCAGATCGAGACGCAAAGCCTCGTGGATCTCGTCGACACGATCCTTGATGCTATTGCGCGCAGTAGATTAATTAGCTACATATTAAAGCCATGCGGGGAGCTACCCGAAAGGTAGGCAAAATAAGGTACTTTGGGACAGCAACTCACGCCCAGTAAAGCTTCCGGAGCTGGACCAGCCGGTACTCCACATCGCGAGTGGTGTGTTCATGGAAGGTCTTGCGGCAGCGAGAGACGCGGTCAGCGACCTCGTCAACAGGAGTATACTCCAGGGGAGGGATTTCAATGGCACCCATGGTGAGTAAATTAAGGTGGTGGAGAGAGAGGGGAAGGGATGAAGATGACAGGAGGGAGGGAATGGGAACAAGAGGAGAGGAACGAAGGATCAAAAAAGGCGGAAGTTCAGCCGAGAAGACTAGTAGATTAAGAAGGAATCCGAATGCGGAGCTCTTGTTTCTGACAAGCCCCTGATTCTTTCAGAAAACCGTGACGAGTGCCTTATCTACTCCTATGAGTAATGAGTAATGGAATACGAAGAAACAACTGGAAGTGAGGATGTTCGTCAGGCCAGATAATATAATGAGCAGCAGCTAACATTCCGCCGACCGAGGACCGGGTGGATTGGTGATCAGCAAATTCACCGAGCCGTTCATTTTTTAGGGGCAAAAAGACCCCATGCATTCTCCATCCCTCATCCATTTCCGGGCACATGCCCTCCTTTTTTTCCCCTCATCTGTTCCGCGGCACAACCGAGGACTTTTCCACTCGCAAGGTCTGCTTTTTACGAACGGAGAACCGTTGTTGGCCACTGCTCACATGTTACTGACTTATCTTTGATTAACAAATGACAGCTACGGGTTGAGTCATGCACGCGACCCACTTGCCTCGCAAGGGGTTCTGTTTTGCGGATAGCTTAGGAGCTTATTTCCCCCTTGTTCATCATCCTCATCAACTTAATGTCAACGAACTATCACATTGTGGTATATACGATGATAAATCAAAAGCTAGCTCACGGGAACAATGGAGACAATGAACAATATAGAAGAAAAAAGCAAATATGCAGATCTGCAGTCAGCCACCAACTCACCCCTCCATCATCATCAGTGCTTGAACTGATCCTCCGTGACACCCTTGCCCATAGCCGCCGTACTGCTGATGCCGCCCGTCACCATCTTCAACATATTATCCACGTAGTTGGCACCACTCCATTTCTGGTGAGTCACCACATCCACTCCCTGCTCCATCTCCGGCTCTTGCACCAACTCGCCGTACGCCCGCATTCCCTGCTTCGCGTACGCCTTGGCGAACTGATCCGTGATGAGCGCCGTCGTGTGCAGACCCGCCAGGGTGATGAACTGCCAGCAGTATCCCAGGGCTCCCAGACGCTTGATGTACGTCTCCTGCTCATCGCGCGGCATCGCCTTCTTCCAGTTGAACGAGGGCGACAGGTTGTACGCCAGCCTAAAGCGGCAGGGTTAGTGTCAAAGTCTACACTGATGCAGAGTAGGACAGCACTTACTTCTGCTCTGGCCACACGGCGTGCACGCCGTCGGCAAACTCCTTCGCCTGAGCATAGTCGGGCAGCTTGCTCTCCATCCAGATGAGATCCGCGAAAGGTCCATATGCAATGGCGCGGTTCACCGCACACTGGGTACCTCCCTGGTACCGGTAGAAGCCCTCCCGGGTGCGAGGGGCGTCCCAGTCCCAGTAGATGTCGACTCCAGTAATGTCCTTGGCGATAGCCCGGGCTTCGCGGTTGCTCTTGCCCTTCGCCTTCGTCAGGAACTCATCAATGAGGGCCTTCTTGTTACCAGAGGAACCCTTGTTGATGGTGTCGATGACAGCTTCGCTGAAGAGCTTCAGGCCAGCCTGGGCAGTCCATTGGTCTTCAATGGCCTGCAGCTCGTTTCCGTTCTTACCAGCCTGCTCCGCAGCTACCATGAGGTCATTGAGGGGCTGGAGGTTGGGGTTCGTCGATCCCACGACGAAGGCATGGTCACGGTAATCGATGGTGGAGGTAATGAGAGTGGCAGCTTCGGAGTCGGTTCGAGCAATGGCAAGCAAGTCGGTGCCTGAAAAAAGTCAGTTGATGCTATGCGGATTAAGCAAATCAGGATGCTACTCACCCATGATATCCGCCTGCGCACGGATAGCCACCAGACGGTTGATGTGTTCGCTGATAGGCACAAGCACCTTTCCGGCCATGTGACCGCACTTCTTGGTACCCGGAGCCTGGTCTTCAATGTGAATACCGGCAGCACCACGCTCAACGAACAGCTTGGTCAGCTTCATCACGGCCGTCAAGCCACCATGTCCGGTATCAGCATCCGCAATGATGGGGCGCAGGTAGTCCACATTTGCCACCTTGCCACGCTGCTCCTTGGGGGTGGTGATGCGTTCCTCGCGCTGTTTCCGGTCATGGAACAGCTGAGCCAGGAACAGCTGGTTGACCTTGTTGGGGACGGTATTCTAATGCAAATCTTAGCGGTTATCCCACAATTATCAACATGCTCTGAGACCTACCATGGGGTAGTCGGCAAGATCGGGAGAGGGTTCATCGGTGGAAGAGGCGGTGGAGGAGCTCTGCCAGCCAGAGACGTAAACGGTGTCAAGGTATTTGGCCATCTGGGTGAGCATTGTGGGCTCGAGACAGCCATAGGTGAAGCTGGGTACTTTGTTCTATGGGAAGAGAGGTGAGTTCATGATTGACCTAACCACCACAGAGCAGGGACATGCGAACCTCGAAATTGCTCTCCAAGATCTTCCACAGCTTCTTGCTCATAGCATTGGAAGGGTACTCAATCTTCAGGGTACCACGCTTGGCCACAATCTGCTCAGCAGTAAAGGGGCGCTTGGTGTGTCTCCATCTGGAGTCCTGCCACCACTTTTGGACGGCCTGGACATCGTCCAGATACTTCCGGTCTTCTTCTTCAAAGGAAGCCATGATGATGTATGGTATAGCCGAGGGGGTAATATAAGCCAAGATCTAAATTGATGCAAATGGATATAGTATAGTACAATGTATCCAACAATGTTCACATACAACCGACAAGAGAAAGACAGAGGAAGAAGAGAGGAGAGTAGAGGAGAGAGAGAGAAAGAGAAGAACAAGGATACAGTTCAAATAAAGTCAATCATCAAAGAAGAAAACCGGAATCACAAGCCAAAGGGAAACACCCAGCTACTTAAAGCATGCGCCATATTCCCTCGATGCGTCACAAGTTCATTGGGCCACCCAGCACCAGCACAAGGTTGGTCGGTAAACGTTCGGTTCAGCGGGACAAGAAGGAAAGAAGGGCCAAAGGCCAAGGACCAAAGGGGACAGAACAGTCAGCTTTGCCGCCCCCGGAGTATCTGATTTTCTTGCAACAAAATAAAACCGGGGGTGAGTCGAAAACAATTAGGTTGAACCAAGGGTTTCACAAGCCAAGTTTAGTGGAGGAGTCGCAGTAGGGAGTGAGTGGTTTTGGCTGGTTCGGAAGAGAGGATCGAGACCAGACGAAGATCCTCGGTCTAAAGGGACCAAGCCGAAAACAGGTCGCCACTGCAGTTACCTTAGTAGTTAGATTCAATTACTATGCAATTATTCTACTTTCTACATTATTACTTTTTCACTTACAGAATTAACTTATTACTGAATTGTTCTCATCGCAACTCCTACTACATACTAGCAAACAAGAACACACCCTCTCCCACAAGCGGCTAAGTAGCATATCATCCAACTATCATAGTAAACTACCTAGCTAAGTAGTACTTACCCCACGAAACAACCTAAGTAACAACCTAAGTAAATGACGTTGTCCACCCCCAGCCATAACTACTAAGTACTAGTAAGTAAGCATGTGCCTAGCACCAACTGAACTTACAACAACCTCCGACTCTACCCATTTACAATACCATACCACTCCCGTCTCCCCATGCCTCCAATCTCATAGGCTCAATGCCTCCCCACACCCGTATCCATACCCCTCAGGCATCAATACAACACGGGGAGAGCGATCAAACCTCGGCATCCCGCCACCCAATCAGCTGTCCATTTCATAGCCGATCCACGATCATAGAGTAGGTAGTAGCTGTCCCGCCTTCCGTATAGTCTTCTTCATTGCCTTGAGGGGCCACGCAAGGTCGGGAAGTTAAGGAGATGGTGTTCCGAGTAATCTACTACTATTATTACTTTTCGTGTCTATTTACTTGGAGTTTATTTGTGCAGAGTGATGCTGTATGTGGAGGAGGATTTCGGACGATGGCCGAAAATAAGTAAGTATTCATCGGAAGTTGGATGTTGTGAGGAGTGCGTGGGTGGTGTGTTTCGGAGATGAGTAGCTCTTGTGTTTTTTTTAGTCTACAGGAATAGTGGTAGTTACATGTACTTGTGTTGTTGTAAGATGAGTGTGTGCAGATCTACTCCATATACCTTTTAAAGGTACTGCTATCTACCGGGATGAGTGGTTGGGTGATAAGTTACTAGTTAGTATTCGGAGATTCTAGGGGCTGATGCATGGAGCTTTCAGCTGGGCATGGGATTGGGGGTTTCGGGGCTGCGTGGTCGTGTGTCAATTACTAGGACTACCACCTACGGTATGAGCTTGGGGGAATGAAATGGATGGATGGATAAATTGGGAGGGAGGGATGTCTGTTGAAAAAGAAAACAGAAATATTGGGTTGTAGGTAGTTTGGAATGTATGTAGCAAGATATGATTGAAATTCACATGTGAATTTGTCTGTGGGAGGTCATCCATCCATTCATACATCTGACAGTCGTGACTTCTGAGTCAGACTCAGACTCAGACCCTGGATTGATCTCCGATCGTTGTTAGCTGCATCTGCTTACGGGGTAAAAGGAAAACCATTTTCATCATCATTATCATCCAAATCCGGAAGAATGCATTAACTACTACGTACTATTTCTCGTTACTACCTAATCGTTTTATCGTGGACTTTGTGGCTGGAAACGCAAACCCGAACAATGAACATCAAAAAGAACAATAGCCCCAAAAAACAAACGCCACATTCAAGAAGATTCGTCACTTCTACTCGGGGATATGTCCACCTCGGAATAATAACAAGCTCCCTTCTCTCTCTTTGCATCAGCGTAAATCAACTATTAAGTCAACTGAATCATAGTAGGCAATGCATCCTCTATAACCAAAAAGCCAAGATGTCACCTCGTCCAACCGATTCTAAAGCTATAGAAACTGTGCCCGCATAACCCTTTTTCCTTACTGTGCAGAAAGTCGACAAGTGCCACGACGGGCGAAAACAAATAGCCGCGCTCAATGCGATCATGCTCTCTCCT